AAGCTGTGTTAAGGAGAGCAGAGAACTGTGTCCTTTGTGATTTAGAATTGTGCGGTGAAGGGAGCGGAGAGCGTGAAGAGCAGTCAGGTAGGATTCGGAGCGCAAAGATTCCTGTAGGTACTGTGTTGTGGACCTCATAGTATATGTCTGAATATGGTTGGCTGGATTGCTTCTATTAGCCATGCCTGTGGCTGCAACCATATTGCTGATGCAGCCAGAAGGTTACTGCTGCCTGTAGAGTAAGTCTTATCATTATTTTCGTATTAAGCTTATGGAGCTTAAGTTGTGAGGTTATGAAAAAGAACGCAGTGCAGCATTAATGTGGCCCTTTCTATCGTGTGGTCCTGCTCAAATATGAGGCCGGGAGCAGTTGCCCCTGTGCCTTGTCTTGAAAAGGCCCTGAGATGAGGACTTCCTCGTATGAGTCGTATGAGTTCCACTGACAAGAGGGTGACTTTGAAAAAGCCTTCCTTGAGTAGCTTTTTCTGCATAGGCATCATTTCTGCCCATGCTAAACACATTCCAACCATCAAAATCATACCAGGACACCTCGTTTTTCTAACCCTAGCCTTATGCGATTGCGATTTGCAGCCATACCTATACACATGGGGGGTGGGGTTAAAGGGCATGGAAGCCTTTGAGTCTAGAACTCATACATTTTTCTCTGCCAATATTAACAGATGTGAGGCCTGCACAGTTACACTCATTGCATGATCATTCAGAAGAACAATTGCTGCAGAACCCGACAGCTGAGTTTAATTGCTTCAACCAAGAATAATATTCACATTTTCCTCCAGCTAAACAAACATCCAAAAAGTTATTAAGTAAATTACTGTAAGCCTTGCTCAATTAAACCTCACAATTGTGTCTAACCAGCATGTTGCCTGTGTCTAAATTTATATTAAACATTATTCAGAGCAGCCAGATGTTACTTCTGCAAGCCATCTTGTTAGCTCTGGAGCCAGGAGCAAACTCATAGAAACCTTAGGAGTTAAGCACCACTGGAAAGTTCTAATGTTCAGCTCAGTTGCTGTGGTGTGAGGCCGGATTAACCAGGCATCAAAGCAAGGCCTCATAAAATAGCACCTTGTGGTTTGTGCAGAAAGCTATAGCTATACTTCTGTATAGCCTGAAGTGCCAGTTCCTGCCTAATCTTGAAAGTTAAACAGGGTCAGACCTGGTTAAAATCTGGATGGGCAACTTGAGTCTTACACTGAACTTTTGGACCCTATGGCCTTTAGGTCTCTTCCAACTGTATGATACACCTTTGGTTTAGTAGTGGAACTTTGCATGCACAAGTTTCAGTTCTGAGCATCTCTGGGTAGGGCTGGGGAAGAACTACGTATCTCTGAAATCCTGAAAATTCCCAAACTGATGCTCTCTAGATGTGTTGGAGTGCATTTGAAAAGAACTAGATAAGGATATATGGAAAACAGGCAACACCAACTCTTATTTTAATGTATTTTTACACTGAAAAATGCACCTCTCTTCTTGAGAACAGAGAATCCATGGAATTCAAGGCAGAATGGCTTTATTTTTGCATGAAGATTAATGCCGTTTTATGCATCAATAGGCCCCAGCAAAGAAAAAACCGTGGGAGTAAGCAATACTTTTCACCCCTTGATTTGCCAAGGCATACTAGTACTCTGTGAAGACTAGTTTGAACGCCTTTGCCAATGCAAAGTAATTTTAAAAATAGCTCCTCATATCCCCAAATCATCTTTTCATTTTGTAGGAATTACTCTCACCTGGAAGCATGTAATTCATCTACCTCTTTACAGCATGGATTGTTGCTGTTTAAAAACAAAATGGTAAAAGTAGAAACAAAACGTTAGATAAACAGTGGTTGATCACCACCAACAGCCAAAGGACTGCAGAGCTTCTCAAACCATTTGCAGCACGAAACACAAATCAAACGGGCTCATCTGAAGAGGTTCTTAGAGGAGTAGAGGAATTGAAAGCATACCCCTGACTAACCCAGAAACTAGCATAACAAACAACAAACCATTTATGAGCCAAATAGCATTCTTACTCAAGTCTTGGAAGGATTCAATAAGAAAGCATTCACGATTGCCATGTGCTTGTATTACATCTCAGTTGTTTTGTAGAAATTTGACAAAATGAGCAGGATTCCATTTATGTCCTTCCCCCAGACGAAGAATGGTGGGAGTTTACTGCCACAGTGGGAGTACTTCTGCAAAGGGCCTGAAGCACAAAATGCGCTCAGGTGACTGTGGAGACTGAACAAGCAAAATACAAATAAGCAAATACACCAGCCAGAGAAATAGAGGACCGGAAGAGAATGAGGGAAGAAAAAGGGTTGTTTTGTCTCAGAACAAAATAAAAGAGAATAGGCAAAATCCAGCAGGGACATGTGCACTGGCACAATGGCTCCCATCAAAACTTCCTCAGCTATAGGAGGCTCCTGGTCAAGGCTTTACCCACACATACAGCCGTGATAGAGCTGACTGTGACAGAGACTGAGGAACATTTGATTCCTTATGTGGTAATATAGGAGTGACTGTGGGGGTGGCCAATTCAGCTTTTGTTAACAAATATCCTGCAGGGCAAGGCACTATTTCACAGTACTTCTTGCAACTGCTTGGCCACCTTTCCACATACTATTTGATGGGAATTTTGTGAGAAGCGATAGGGATAGGAACTCAGACTTGAATCTTGAAAAACAGGACCCTCAAGAAGTGAGAAATGCCGCACTGAGGGCGTTAAATGTAGCTACTTCGAAAAAAGTACATATTGAATACAGCTCCTTTGCACCATAAATATGTGCAAAAGCATTTGAAGTTGGACAAACTACAGGTCTGGCAGGTGAAAACTGTCAACATTTCAGGACAAAAGGTGAGACACCATCGAAGAAACGTGAATCCGCATGCTAATCCCAAACTGTTACATTTGGACATTTCTTGAACATTGCAGTCTTCCTTTTAGAAATGAGAAATTGCATGATTTGCTAAATGATAGACTATGAGCTAATCTGATCTACACTCAAGCAGAATTTAGTTTGAAAACTATAAAATAAAAACGTGCTTGTACATTTTGTTCATAAATCATATCTACTTCATTAGTAATAGTTCAGGAGTCATGTATTGTAATAGATGCCTTCTGAGGTTTCTGCTTACATTTTGAAATATTTTAAAGTTTTTGTTATCCATGAATTGTGATCAAATTAATTCTTCAGACAACTAATGATTTGGGGGCACTTCCAGCAGCAGTGTATTGCATGAGATCAACAGCCTGAAGAAAGCACAAGTCATGCAAAATCACATTCATGGTGTTGATTGCTGTTAGTGTAGTTGAACAGAGAAACACTCAAAGCTTAATGGGTACTCTGTGCCCTTGTCTACAGGTGCAATGTTTACATGTACTGGAAGAACATGTGTTTTTCAGATCTTTCACTAAAAATCATGCCATGGAGAGGTAGGTAACACACCAATGGAAATTAACAGACAGACAAAAGATAAGAATCAAGAACATACAGTTTTATTACAAATCAATAAAAACTAATTAATATGCAGCTATGTTACAAAGAGTAAAGATTGATTAAAGGAGAAGCAGTCAGTTTCGACTGGCAATTCTTTGGTTAAATCTAAAGCAAGATAGTGCATGAGTAGCGTAACATCAAAAAGAGTGGATGGTAATAGCACCAAACACACATGCAGATCTTACTTGGGTGAGAGGGGAAGAAATTCAAATATAAGCAGTACTGTGAGTGCCATGGATATCTTATTGAGAAAGGAGAGAATGAAAGAGGAACAGAGAAAGAGGAATGTAGGCATTACTTTTCTTAGAGTGAAGGCAAGCAAAGTTCTCCTTATGGGAGATGCTGTGAACCATCAGACTGTCCTTGACGCTAGGACATGCTAGGTAGCATGTGGTCATTACCTTAGTGGGTACTAATGTATTTGCTGAGAGCAATAGAGGTTTCCTTCACCAGAGCTCTAGATTTGCCAATTCAGGATGCATCTTTGATAGCATGATTAGATTAGGGACTGAGCAAGTAAAAGGCATCTATATTTGTGCACACCTGGCAACAGTCCTACTTATTAATGTAGCTCAAGATCAGAAAGTTCAAGGTGCAACTTTTCTTTTGCTGCTGCTTAGCCCTGCTCACCTAGCTTCTCCACACAGAATGGAATTCTGGACAGGCAGGCTGAAGACAACAGAAGACCAACCAATTGTAGATTAACTTTATTGGTAGGATGCCAGGTTGGGAAAACTATGCTAGAGTGATACTTCAAGACAATAAGGCTGAACTCGTCAATGACATGAAAAAGGGTCCCAGGCTCAATTCTTGGTATCTGTTGGGCTGGAAAAGATTTTTGTCTAAAGCCCTGAAGTGATGCTATGCTAGCCACTGCAGGCAGGACTGGGCAAGATGAACCCATGGTCTGAACCCAGAGTAAGACAGCTTCCCACAGTGTAGCATGGCAGGAAAAAAACCTGAGCTATGAGCTTACTAGGAAATTCTATTTAAATATTTTCTGCTATGAGTAAAACTAGGTAGCCTTAGGCAATTCAGTGATCCTTAGCTTCAGTCCCAATGCAAACCTTTTCAGGACTGCTGTAGATATTACAAGTTATGTAGTCCTGTTATAGAGATCTGTTTTCTATGTAAGAACTGCAGGAGGGTGAGCTGTGATTTAGGGTCGGTTAACAACCCAGAGTTGAACTGGGAAGCATAGGATTTGTGCATAAAAACTATCCAAAATTCAAATATAATCCATATTCAGCCTGTACTCTGGTTCTTGTATGCAAACTGGTCACAAAGTGGTTTATTCAGGAACATAGGCAGCACAGTGTGAAAATTGGGATAGAAAGTTTATACTCCCACAGTAGAAATAACTGTCTGAAGTACTTCCTAGTTACTGTTACCAGTAATATCTACAGTCATCTCTCATGTAACTTGCATTCACATTTCTATATGAAAAGATAACTCTTGCTCACAAGAGAATGAGCTCACAAACTGAAGACCACCAGCTTAGTACAGAAGAATATCTTTAAAATTTATTTGACTAATTGTGTTACATTCAGTATTTGATGTGTTTCTTCTGGACAAAGAGTTGGCATAAATACAAACAAGCCTTTGTGCCTTCCTTAAACAAGAGATAAAGTAGAGAGACAGAGGAACATAGCTTCACATCTTTGTATTTACAGTCTGTCTTTACAACTTAGTGGTAGGAATATTTACAGAAAATACAGTAAGAACAAAAAGGTCATGTCTTGGCAACATACAGAACTTTATACACAATTGTACATGATTTGTAAGCACATGGTATCTGTCCATCTCCTTCCAAGCACTCCTGCAAGAATCCTGATGTCCTTCAAAGATACCTTTTAACAATTGTACAACCATAAAAGTTATATTTTTGCTCATGATTTATGTTGCAGTCCTATAATTCTCCTAGACTGAGCATCTCAAATACATCATGACAACTGTATACCTCCTTGCTGGAGGTGACTACAAATAACAGGCAGTCCAATCCTCAAAGCACTCCTATCACCTCAGGATGAGGATTAGGAGACAACTTTTTTGTTTCTTTTTATAGTTGCTTTACAATTGCCTCACATACAAAATAATTACTTTGTCAGACATGCTTTCCTACAGTCTCTTCCCTGTTTGATCCTTTGCTTTATATTAAAATATCCTTGAAGGACCTCCTTAGGAAAGGTGATTTATGTTTCTTAAATGGAACTCTTTATTAAAAAGGTACTAAAAGTGGAATTTTCCTACTGAAGTGTTGTGAAGAGGATATTTAACTGTCTTGATTTATATTACCATAATGCCCTATTAAGAGGACTGTGAGCATAACACCTTTACAATAGAAACAGACTAGGTAAATATTTGTAGCCCTAATATTGTATCTCTTCAAGAGATTAGAATGAAAATAAACAGTCCATAATAAAGAAAACCAAATAAAATGGTAATAGGAAACAAGCAGCATAAATTGTAAGAAAGTCTGTTCTACAAATGTCTGTTCTTTTAAATATCCTGTTGGATGTTATTGAAATGAAAGTTGGAAATGTAAAGTTTATCCCAATGGTTCCTTTATGTACAATCAAGTCTAATGTCTCATTTGAGCTAACAGAACCATTTTGTTTTCAAATGCAACCATCTTTAGAGAGGTCTAGATAGAACATTTTATTGCAGTCAGTCAACAGCTACGCACAGGTGACAGAAATTTATCAGTGCATTTGGAAGCCTTCTCTTTTACACATATACAAAAAACAGACAACCAGTATCTGTACAAACAACAGAAGGACCACATCTTATGCAACATCTGGGAGAACACAGTGAAAGTGAGCCCTTACATATTTCCATGAATTGCTCAGTGCAGTTTGGTGGGGTCACTGCTGCATTTCCCTATGTAGCATTTTTTATTCTGCTAATAACAACAGTAATTCATGCAAAATTAGGCCTCAACACTGAGTACACTCGTGTGCTGGTAAGCACAAGTCAGGTGCACTTATTACGTGTCAAGTGGATTCAAGACAGCATGTCTGTTTTGAGACCTTTAAAAATATTAACTAAATTAAGGCTGTTTCAAGCAAATTATGAAGTCCCGTCAAGTTCTGGGGATAAATACAGACATGCATAATGGACACAATCTCCTGGAGGAAAGAAAGAGGAAAAAACTTTACAGTACAAGCAATTCTTGTAGATTCATGGCAGAGTTAAATAAACTAAAATTTACTGGAGAACAGACTTTTAAGCTTGGAAGGATATAATTAAAGCGATTGATTTAAAGTCCTGATTACCAAAGCTGACCATGCTTCTAACCTGTTCAAGAACAGCTGTAGGTTTAATTGCTTTCTTTCCCACCTTTGTAAGTAAAAGTGAAGGTTTGGTAAGTCATTAGCCATAATACAAATTACTGGCTTTGCCCAAGTACATATATGGTTCAAACAATGTAACTATGCTTACAACTTATTTTTATATGCAGATACCCAATTGCTTAGCCATTTTTTTGGTACTCATGCATTTGTCATGCTATTTATTTCATGGACTAGATGTGACAGGTCATCTTACAGAGCTGAACAGTACCTAAGGGAGTGTACAGTTAAGGGAGGTGCTCATCTTCCAGGTTAGCCTTCCCCAATTTGGTGCCCTCTAGCTGTTTGGGATTACAACCCCAAGCATTCCTTACCACTGGCTACATTGTCTGTGGCTGAGGGGTGCTGAGATCCAGAATATCTGAAGGGCACCAGGATGAAAAAGGCTGTGCTAATCTAATACTAGCAGATGTCCAGTATGAAGACAAGTCTGGATCCTTGCTGGCAGTGCTATTTGCCACTCCTGTGTGTGTATTAAGCAGAACCACCAAATATGCCAGATATTTGGAGGGGCCTTGTTACATGCACTTATTTTCAAAATACTGGCAACTGGATCTGCACCTATAGCTGATATTTATTAGCATGCTAGATCAGTGTAAAGAAAACATCAGTTGCTCAAACTTCTCTAAGAAATCCAAAGCCCTAATTTAGGTTGCTTCATACGAGTCACTTTCCTCTTCAAAAAGGCCACAGTGATAACTTTTATGAACAAAAAGTATCTCAGTTGTTGTGTAAGGACAGACTTTTTATTTCATGAGTGAAGAAGCCAGTAATGCTGCAAAGAGTAATTTTAATACAGATATACTCACTGGAAATCCTTCTTAAGATACTAAAATTTCCAGTTTCTTGTGGAGCTCTTGTTCACAAACTACTCCACATATCGTCACTAGCTTCTTTAGTATGATTCAGCCATATGAAAGAAAATAATGAAATACCACAGCTAATTTCAAAATTGCTTTTCCCTGGCATCCTAACCTTTCAAAATATAACCTTTTGCACTTTCTACTGATCTAGTTTGCTTACTGCTCTCAGTTACCTCCTTGTATATCAACGTTTAGGGAAAAAACTTTAACTGTTTTGCAAAACACTTTAAAATGGTCATAAAGAGCAACAGGGTTGACATTCACATTCTATGCTATATGCCTACCTGGGCATGAAAACCAAATATACCATATTCATTATTTTAGACAAAGGAGAGACCCAATAACCTGTGTTCACTACCATTTAGAGAGAGGTTCACTTGCTGCAGAAAACAAAATGGCTTGCCCATTGAAGAAAGGCAGGCTGTGCATGTTACCATAACAGAAATTAATGCATTAAAGCAAAGAATACTGCATGGTCAATTGCAAGTCACCTGCAGATGCATTAATTCTGCAAAGGCATATTAAATATTAGAAGTTGAGGGTTGAATCCAATATTGAACCAGAGGAGGTTTGCAAGCATGATAGGACCTCTCTTCCCCACTTAAGCCTTCTGAACTACCCAAAACCTGCCCCAGAGGGCTCCCCAGCTCTTCAGAACACATCTTGGGGGCATATGGGATTGGGGGGGGGGCTGCAGGAGGCTGAATCACCCTCCCAGATTCATCAAAGTGGTTTTGACTGCCATGCATCATATGGCTGATGGTTTAAAAAAAAATCACAGACAAAAGCATCAATCTGAGTTGCGAATGTAATTCTTGCTGCCCTACATACCTTACTATATGCTTAACTGGAATCATATTCTATTGAGATAAACAGGATTTATTTCTAAATACATATACTTAGGACTAATTTTATATTTCCACAAATACAAATGGCCATTTTTGAACCCCCCTCAATTTTGTTTCAGAGGCAATTATCTTCATTTGCAAAATGTGTAGGCTGATTTGCAAATTCTTTTATCAGATGCAGAAAGTTCTAATCAGCAACAGTGATCTGACCTACATTTAAGTATTAGCAGCAAGAAAACTCAATTGTCTAACAATTTCTTTCTTAAAGCCACATGCAGATTTCTCTGTCTAGCATCAGAACTAGACATGACAGTAGACTAATAAGTGCCACCACTGAAAAAGCAGTCCAGTATCTTTTTTCCCTTTGCCTCTCAGTAATGTCTAGTAATAGACAATGCAGCAGCCAATGAAATTAAGTGAGATCAGAGGGACTTGCAGCAATGTTACATCAGATGTTTTGTATTACTAAGAGTTACTTGGCAGTAGTGTGTGCACATATAACAACACTGCCAGCTGATTACTGCGGAAGCAATGGATCTTTTGTAATGTCTAGTTCCAGCCAAATATACTTGTAAACTTGGGATAAAATAAAATTCATTTCCAACAGGTGTAGTAATGCCGAAGTACATGATGGGGCACATACTTAGCAGATAAATTCAAGAACAAATTTATGACCTGACATTTAACTTAGATAGTTCACCGCTTCCAGCAACAGTACATAGCAATGTCTTGTACTCAGTTTTAAAACAAAGTCTGCCTTTTTGTAATGAAAGTATAAAATGTAGAATTTGAAATGTAGAACTTGTTCCCTTCTGCAAATAGCATTTACACTTCATAAATCTCTCATTCAGGTTTCGTAATAAAGCTATTTGTAGCAAGTTTTCCATCTATAAGGCAAGACAGACATATTCCTCATTTCCACAAAGGGGCTTTACATCTTTGTCTAAAAATGACAGTGGGATGTCAAGCACATAGCCATGCTCCTCCCCCTCTTCCCCTCACAAACAGCTCAGGAGTTTTACTCCAGACAGGCCAACAGCAGGCTGAAGGCATAGCAAATTACAAAAGTAAAATATACTTTGAGCAACAGGTGCATGGTACATTCACCTTGGATCTAGAGGAGGAAGAAAAGAAAGAGCCAACTGGAGATCTCTGGCTTTGGGCTCAACAAAATCTGGTACCAAGTTTGCTTCTAAGTGGAAAAGCAAGTCAACCCTCCCCCCCTCCCCCCCCCCCAAAAAAAAAAAAAGGCATTGCAAGGTCTCTGGAGAAATCTGCACTTGAGCCTAACCTGCTAGTGAAACCAAGTATGGAACTTCAGTTGTTAGTTCTATACACAGTATCTGGCATTATATGTGAATGTGGAAAATTGTGAGAAGTACACCATGTGTAGGCCTCTCTGCTACACATTCAGTCTATTGTCTATCATCAAATAATAATTGATGGCAAAAGCTTGTCCCTCTGTAGCAACTGGTGTGTGCAGCTGTACTCAAAAAGTTCGCAGGGTGGGAGCCTAGACTGAGTCCACATTGCTTCCTTGCAGCAGAAGCAGAATTCATGCTCAAGTTGTGGTTTCTTACACAGGAGTTCCAAGAGGGGAAAGATTTCTTGCATTATCATAGACACCAAGCTCTGATCTAATTGTTCAGGGAGAATATTGGTCTAAGGATTGCAGCTTTTGAGCCCAACCTCCTGGAAAAGAGAGGTATAAAACTCTGGCTCCAGCTGTTTGTTCCTGTATTTGTTGACAATGTCAGCAATTTTCTGTTTTCGACGGACATGAGGGGGATTGTACGAGTCACTTTCCAGCCTTTTTCTTCGACAAATATTTATTACTGTCTGTCTCACTAAGAAACCTTAAGTGAAAAGACAAAAAGAAAGAACAGAGTTAATGCTGCTTACTTCTCTCAGGAAGTTTATTTTTAAGACTGCTTGAGAAAAATCCTCAATACTTAAAAGGTTTTATATCTGGCTGTAGAAGATGACTTGCAACATGTTCATGCTACTCTATCTTGTGGCTCTCTGGATTGTTTTTTTCCTAGACTGTACTTTCTAAGTGCTAGGAGAAAGAAAATCAATGGTACCACCATCAAAATGTTGGTGTTATGTGCCATCAAGTTGTCTCTGACTTAATGAGATCCTATGAATGAAAACCCTCCAAAATTTCCTAACTATGACAGCCATGCTCAGCTCCTTTAAATTCAAGGCTGTGGTTTCCTTTATAGAGTCAATTCATCTCAGATTTGATCTTCCTTTTCTTCTGCCTTCAACTTTCCTGAGCATAATTGTCTTCTCCAGTGACCATCAGAATATCATGAGCATATTTGTAATTGATCTACCTAAGCTCTGGTGTCCCTTTATACATGGCCACAATTATGGAGCATCCCAGACAAAGCCTCCCAAGATTGCCAGCTTCATTGGAAAAGCAGCCCTAGGAAGATACTTAAAACAAAGTATAAAACAAAGAAGGGCGCTTTTACTTTCCAGAGAGATCATTTGTAGCCTCAAATGTAGTCTGGTGCTGGTATGGGGGAAAGCGCCTAAGGTAATTAACAGATGCTAGCAAGTTAATAATCAAATATTAATTCAAAAGACCTACCTAAAGCTCTCCTGCTAACTATCATCCCATCCACCAATGGGATGACCATATTGAATTTCCCAGTAGCTCCTTGCACTTTTACCCTGAATAATCCAGTGTTTAGGGGATGGATGAAAATAACTGGAACTTCTTTTTCAGGAGTTGAGGACCTTAAATAAAAAAGTTATCAATATAAACAAACATTTAAGGATTAAAAATGGCAGTAACTTTGACAAACATCATGTTTCAAAATGTAAAAACAATATAAATGAAAAGACGACAACAGCATCTTGAATGTTGTTTTTCCAAATACACCAGAACAGACAAAGCCTAGGTGATAATCACGACTATGTTGTCATCAAAAGTCAACAGGAATTGGGAGGTGGATCAGAAGTCTAAGAAATGAGAGCTCACTACATGTAGCCTAACTACAACCTAATGAACCACTGCATTTAATGGAAATCAAAGTTAGTATGAAGGTAAGAACATAAGAAGAACCAGGCTAAATTAACCGGACTTCCATCTAGTCCAATATTCACAGATTCTGTAGTCAGCTGCCTGTGGGAAACCCACAAGCAGGACATTAATGCACTATCAACCTCATGCTCCCCAGCAACTGGTGTATACAAGTGTGCTTCCTCTGATACTGGAGGTAGCCTATAGCTATTAGTACTCATTGACAGCCTTATCCTCCATGAGTTTATCCAATCCAAATTATGTCCAAAATGGAATTTGTCTTTGTCACATCAGCCATGACTCAGATGTTTTTACTGAGCAATCTACCACAACACTGTGCTCTCTTTCTTGGCCAGTCACCTGTAGCTCAGGTCTCATCAGTTTATACATGGTTGGGATGTTTTGGGTTCAACATGCATCACTTTATACTTCGATTGGATGATCTTTGCATTTTTGATCCTAATTCTCACATTTTAGAGAGATCATTTTTGAGTTCTTTGCAATGACTTTTTTTTAACCACCCTTAATATTTTGGTGTCATCAGCATCACTCCACTACACTCCTAACTCTAAATCATTCATGAACAAGTTGTGCATCACTGGGCCCAAGGCAAAGCTTCCTGTGTGACCCCACTGTTTCCACTGGGAAAATTTACTTCCTGCTTTCTGTTCTAGTTACTGATCTATAAGCAGACCTCTCTTATTCCTTGACTGCTAAGCTTTATTGGGCATCTTTGGGAGGAAATTTGTTAAAGCCTTTGGGAAGTCCAAGTGTACCAGAACTCCCCTATTCACATGTTTAGCAGGACTTGTTCTTCTATGTGTTTGTTAATTTTATCTTCAATAAAACTTTCAATCAATTTACTCAGAAAAGACTTTAAGTTAAACAGCTTGTAATTTCTTGGATCCCCCTAGATCAATAGGCTCATATATCATGGGTACACTATCATTAAAGGAATAATTTCCTGTCCCCACACCATAATATTTGAAAGTAGAAGTGCTATGAAGACACCAAAATATTCCTGGGTCATGAATCTCAGCTACAGCAACAGAACAACACACACATGCTACATATGAGCAGGCTAGTTCCAAGAAAGAAGGAAAAAGGGTACGTCAACACATTACTTTTCCTAAGAAGTTATTTTAAAAATTAGAGCTGGAAAGTAGAGAAATGTAGTCATACCTCAATGAGGTGCTGCTATTTGTTGTAGTTTCTACTCCAGTGCTGGTCTCTGAAACCAAGTCAGAGAGAGGGAAGTTCTCTGCAAGACAAAGATACTTACAATAGGCTAAATAGTCAGATACATTTTCATTGCAGTAGCAAGAACAATGACAAGAGAGCACATAAAATCAGAAACCAAGTCAAATTAAGTGACTTGCATTTAAAGCTAAAAATGATTAGTATCTGACAGATGTTCTTAGTCCCATGTGCTCTTTGCAGTAAAACCCCAATATTCACATACCTATATCATCATAACGTTCAACCCACACCACATACACCTTGGTTTCAGGTCCCAGTGGGGGAACAGCTCGGCCCTGTGGCAACTTCTTTGATCTGGAAGTTGGACTGAGCTGTTGCAGATAAAAAGATAATCAAAATTACAGATGCATGTACCATCTGCCCTGATCTAAATGTTTCAGGGCAAGTACCAGCCTATATCACACACTTTATTATGAACATTTTTCTGGAAACATTTATTCTGACCCTCAGCCACTGAACACTGCATTGGTGACAAGCCCAATCTTTAATACTTCCCATGGTTTTAGCATTCTTAACCTTTAATTTCTCATGCACAATAGCATACTAAGGGAAATCCCCCCACCCATCCAAATAGTGCACTTGAAGGGTTCTATAGATATCTTTACCATAAAAAATGCAGCCTTGGGAGAAGGACATGAACTGTATGCCAGTGCAAACATTTACCGTTCTAAAAATTCCATAGGAAGGCCCTTAGTTATTGCAGAATATCAGAAAATTTCACAGAATCCTTCGTAGAGCTGGAAGGGGCCAAAAAGGCCATCAGTCCAACCTCAATGCAGCTTGGACCTCCAAGTTAAATCATCCCTCTCAGATGGCTGCCCAGCTCTTCAGCTTGTTGCTAGAAAATTATTCTGTAATTATTGTTTGCATAAAAGCAATATTATTTAATTACAGGAGTTGGTTAAGAGGCAGAAGACAACCTGTATATAAAGTAGAACCCTTCACTGATCAACATAGATGTTACTTGCCCTCTGTGATGAACTGATATTGTCTGTATGATTGGGGAAGAGCTCAAGTGTCAATGCTGGCTGCTTTAATATCCCAGGTAGGAGATCCATATTGGAGTCACTTTCCTGGTCCGAGACATTGCTTTCCAATGAATCCGCTGAAAGCCAAAATTGAGTGCATGAGCTGCAATCACATTTTGGATATAATGGTTGGCAGCTTATCAACTAACTGCACTTTCCCAAAATTAGGTCAATGCACATTAATACTGTTGCTTGAAGGCTTCATCAGGTTACTCAACACTAGCCAAGTACATTATTGTAATTATAATTCTCCAAGTTTTTCTAAGTCCACACCCAATACATGTACCAGCCAGACCAAATGCCATTGTATTGGTGCAATTTTACTGTGAAAATAGAAAAATAAAATAGAATATTGCTTCTTACCTAGAAGGTTCTTTATGGGTTGGTGCGCAGAAGCACCTCACATTATCTTCCCCATTGCTCAGGAAAAGCAGGGACCATATTACTAAACTTTTGACTGTTCTATCATTATCAGAGATTCATACCCTGCCTTTCTTCCTCTTGCAAGGAATGCAAGGCAGTTCACAAGATTCTCTTCCTCTCCATGTTATCCTCACACTAACAACCCTGTGAGGGAGGTTAGGCTGAGAGTCTGTAATGCATCCAAAGTCACACAGTGACCTAATGACCAAGTGTCAATCCAACACTCTATCTAGTATGCTACACAAACTCTCATTTGTTGCAGGCTTCTCCTTGACAGTCCAGTTCATAGTTGCAACTCAGAAGAAAGGCCCACATGTATCTCCTGACTGGAGTAAATGATAAATGCACAGAATAACAGTAACAATAACAATATGCTATAGTATGTCTGACCAGTGGATATGGAAGCAAACGCCCATGGAAACAGGGTAGAAGGCTCAACAAAAAGTATATGGTATAGTTGGGATGCCTTCTGCACTCCAACACAGAAGGAAATTTCCCAATTTCTATCCATGTTCCATTCTCCATGCTGGTATGAGGAAGATACCCCACAATGGCATATGCTAAAGATAAAATCCAATAGGATGGGAGTATAATTTAGACTGAACTAATCTATTATGGTATAAGTACTTGCCAGAAAACTCTCTTTCCGAAGGAAACATCTACCATAGCATATGAGCTGGTTTTATGATGCCTGGTCAAAGGATTTGGATTTGCCCAGGTTGCAGCCTTCCAAATTCCTGCTAAGGGTGCATTAATACTTAGATTGACCTTTCAGTAGCCAGGTGACTAGTTGGGGCTACTGTGAATCTGAGTGGAGAACTGGATACTTGAGACAGGAGGTTTGACTTCCAAGGTAAAAACCCTAGCCTTTGCTGAGCTAGGGTTTGGATTTCCAAGAATAATGGTCTGCAGGAAGGAACAGGTTTACAGTTAGTTACAGTTGCTTCTTTTCTGATCTTTTTCAGCATTCTGTCTAGGAATGGAAATGGAGGCCAGCAGTACAGTTTTTCCTTTGGTCAGTTGCTGTGGAGTATGTCCACTCCTTTGATTCCGTAAGAGTGGAACTGTGAAACAAGACTTGGGAATTTATAAGTGAATCAGGAAATGAACTGGTCAAAGTAATGAGCCAAAATGGCTAGATTTCTCCAAAGGTTGCAGCACAGTGGCTCCCCTCCCCTCCATCTGATTGTTGTTGGCTCAAAAAATCCGTGGTGTGGTTCAGGGTCTTATGCTTTGATGAAGGCTAAATTCTGCTCAGCCCAAAATACCATGGTCTAATATCTAGATGAAGAGAATACAGTTTGGTACCTAGTTGACAAATCATGTACACCATGGCCATAGTGTTGTATGTATAAGGATGTGGGGGAACTATAGTTGATGTGAAAAATCTTTCAAAGGGTAGGGGTATTGCTATGCATCCTAACTAGCTGATGTTTTTCTTCTTTTCCCATGGAAGCCATTTGCCTTGAGGCACTTGCAGTAGACTCCCAGGCCTTTGTGACTGGCATCTGTACCTGACAAATTTGTTGAGGTATATATAAGGTCCAGAATAGCTTTCCAACCTCCTTTCTGTTTTGGAACAATGAAGAAGAGTATTTGCCCCACTTTTTTCTTGTGGTGGTACTGCTTCTACTGCACCTATTCATAGTAGGTGTTGCACAGGTTTTCTTACAATGTGGCTCTTGGTAATGGATGATGTTGGGGAAGGAATAAGCTTGGGAAAGGGTTCTGTCCTGAATTCTATTTAGTAGCCATTGCTACTGGTGTCTAGAATCCAGTGATCCAATGTAGAATTTTCCCATTCTGGAGTCTTGCTCTGATGGATTTGGGGAGCGGGGTGGAGGTCAGAACTGCTGTTGTCCTAGTTTGGATGACTGGAAAAAAGTGGTTGGTTTAGCAGAATTACTAATGGCAGTCATTGGATTGCAAGCATGATTTTGACTAAGCTGGTTTAAAAAATCTGTAGCTTTTGGGCCAGGAGGAGGATTAGTCAGAAAAGAACAAGAGTACATCGTGGTGAAGACATTTTCTTCTATTCTGATGAGGAAGACATGATCTGTTTGTTGTCATTGTTTTCTATAAGAAGTCCTTTTAAGGTTTTTTCTCTGACCAGATGTGCTCTTGTGAAGGGAACAGAGGCTACATTTGCTCTGGAAGCAGCATCTACATTCCAGTGCTTGAGACATATAATCTTTAGTAGTTGCCTAAAGCAGGCAAAAACTGCAGGACTGTCTCATCAGCTAAGAAGGTAAATGGCTTAAAGAGCTTTACTAGGTGTCTTTGTAAGAAAGTCTGATATAGTCCTTTATTATGTGTTTTACCCACAGATTGGAAGCTCTGGCAAAGCAGGGGACAGCTGAGACTTTTAGTGCTAATGTTGATGCTTTGTGGACTTTAATGTAGTATCAGACGTTCCCTCTCCCTTATCTCTGAGGGGAGCATCTCCTCCTTTTGGCATTATTTTCCTTGAAAATAGTGTTGCTATTGGAGCATCTACCAAAGGTGTTTTAAAGTCTTCCATAATGTAGTGTATAAAATTTTGGAGAAATATTAGCATCCATCTTACCTTGAAGGGATAATTTCCATTCTTTATGATCTTTTTGAAAGCACTTGGAAAAGCTATCTCTCTGGTCATGGGAACATTGCTGCTTCTCTGGATGATAGGTTTTTTTCCTGCTTCTTCAGGGAAGCCATTACTTTGGACAGTAAAGGCAAGAAGTCATCTTTGTTAAAGTATCTACCTAATTAATTCTCCTCATCAATTTCTATGACTGCCTCCACCAGTATCCCCCCCCCCCGACTCAATTTCTCTCTATCTGAATTGAGTTCCTGTTAGAAATGCATGAAGAAACCACAGGCAGGATAATGCCCAGTTTTAAAAAAATAGTCTGAGTTTTACTGTTGTGGTCTATGACCCTGAAGGGTCTTCCTTTGAAGTCTGCAAGGGATTGCAGACTAGCAGTAGTACTAGGTTCACCATGCTGTGTATTTTTATCCTGGGTTTTGTACAGCTTTTTATTTCTACTCTTTGCAGAAGAGTTGGAAGAAGACTTGGAGGTCTTTGAGTTGCAGTTGTGCTTTGGTGCCTGTTCTGTAATTATCCAGCACAACCTTTGTGAGCTGGGAGAGTACAAGTTCATTTATTTGAGGAAACCATTAAGAGTGCAACAGAAAGTTTCTTAGTGCCTTATCTGGAAGTAGAAGGTGTAGGGGTACGAAAGGTTGTACTCTGGTAGCGCAGAATGCAACTGCTATCCAAAATGGCCTCTTGCTTAGGGCAAGGATTTTCCAGCAGAAGTGGAAACTTCCTCAAGTTCACCTTCCTGATAGTTTCAGTGCCCGGTATTTATTGAGCTGATTCCTCCTTCTCTGAATTCAATTCTGGACTGATGGTGAGCTCCACATCATCTTGCAAGAGGGTGGCATGGTCCAAAACCTCGGATGTGCTGACACCCTCCACCTTGACTGCTTCTTCCCTGGTTGTGATGCTCCTTTGATCTTTGGAGAGATTCAACAAGCTGCCAAAGCCTACAGACTGATGTTCTTGCACTGGCTTCTTTCCTTGCACTCCAGTTATAAGAACCCCTGCTTTTGTCTTTCAATGGTTTCCTAATAATCTGGAGATGTGTGCTTGTTTTGCCCTTTTCTACAGTCTTAGGAAATGGTTTTAAGAAGTGGAAAGGCAAAGTGTGAAAACATAAAGAACTTTTTTAAAAACAGGGAAAGGAAATACAGAAAAGATTAAGATTTTAAGAGGTCAAGAAAGATGAAAACAAGTGAGTTTGTAGAAAGTAGAGGGTTTGTCTTGAGTGAAACGCAGGATCTAAGAAGTAGGGAGGAACCAAGGACCAACAGATTACACAATTGTTTTGTCACATTTCCTGGGCAACAGGAGGCAACAACCCATTTGGGATGCCTTCCACATATTAGCATGGAGAAAGCTGCTTTATATTAGAATCAAACTATTAAACCATCCAGCCCAATACTCTGACCAACAGCAGCTCTCTATGCATTCTTTCCTGTCACCTGGTCCTTCTGAATGGAAATGCCAGCAATTGAACCTTTTTCTTCCACATTCTCTAGGAAACCTGGGTTGTGTAGTATTTTGCAGTAAAACTGGGTATCTATTAAGAGTTTAGCAGGTAACGACTGCTTTTCATTTTTTATTTTTTTTTTTTTTTGCAATGTGTAGACTACAGAAATAGACACAGAGAACTGAAGCCACCTGTGGCTCCCTATAACACATTTCTGAAGCACTAAGGTGGGGTGGGGAATCATATTGTACCTCGTGTGTTACAAGGTACAGGTGGACAAACACAACATTTTTCACATGTACCTCTCTAGTGCAATGTATGATGCAGTCCTAATAAGGCCAAAACATCTCTGGATCAGCTACAGAACCAACAGAGGCACACACAGAACACACTTACTTAAGGACTCCACAGGTGAAGGAACGACAAAAGCTATTTCTGTAAGAGCATCTGCATAATATAGTGCTTTCTTTTGCCCATTGAAGATACTTGCCCCAAAGTCTTCTAAAGAAATAATTTCATCTGAGAATGAAAGAAATAAAAGGATAGTCAGAGGGAAGGTCTTTCTGTTTGCTGATGCAGCCTGTCAATACAGCTTTATTTCTCAAGGATTTTTAGCTCTTCCTCCTGCTTTAATACTTAACTCTAAGTGTGCTTTCCAACCCAAACTCATGATTAATTATCTGTTTCAAGCAAAGATACAGTTGTGTGCATACCACCTACAGATATATTCAAGGATGTGTGAACCAGGACTACTTATCTTAACAAAAGCATGCAAAGAGCAATAATGCTGGATCTCTCTGGCCATCTCTCTTCCTAAAGTCATACATAATTTGGAAACTCGTAGATCCCTTTCCTGCAAATCACATTGGGATGATAGTGCAGTGAACATACAGTCACCCCTCTTCTTCATATCCAGTGCACAATTTTCTGCAGGGAGCACTGAATTAACTGGAGGGGAAGGAAGAACTGCTTCAGAATGTTATCCCTTTCTGGAATATTAATAGCACAGATTATTAAAGCACAAAGAGCTCCCTACAAAAAGCCTCTCACCCTGCTCAGATCCCTCCTCGTCACAGAAGCTGTTAATGGACCAACTAGTTGAAACATGCCCTGTCCATCCAGGGTGCTTTCCCACATCAATTGACCAGCCAAGAGAAAGCAAGAACTCTAAGAAATGTGGTTGAACGTTTTTGGAAGACTCCACATTCTTTAAAATCTGGAAGGAAAAAAAGTATTGCAGAAAGAACAGAACACTGTACATGTACTTTAAAAAAACACATTATCTTCCCCAATTTTAAGGTGTTTGCAGGTGAAGTCCTGAAACTACCTAGTTAGTTCAACAAGTTAAGATGTAAAGTAACTGTATTGTACAAGTAATCTCTATCAGCAAGAAAGGAAGCACATGCCACCTATGCTAAAAGAAAGAACACAGAATGTAATGATAAGCAAACCAGGAAGCTATGGTCTAAGCAGGATCTGGTACTGGTTTGATACCATTTCAAGGCAGTGTTTAACCACAGATCAAAGAACTTGGAAAATCTGGTTTAATAAAACAATTATAGCTTCCATGAAACTAAGAACATCAGGAAGAAAGCTTGTTTAAACCATTGTTTATCAGATGGAACATACTATATCTGAATATCATTTAAAAATATCATTTTTTCCTTTCCTTTTTTATAGTAGTAAAAAAAATCACCAAGTATGAACACAAAATTCAGAAGCTCGAGGAGTTTGAAAACACCACTTCTACTGGGTAGAAAATATGGCTTAGATTTTCTATACAACACTTTCCTTTTCTCCGTAACTAGGAGAACCAGAATAACCTATGAAAAAATAGTCTAAGAATACATAATACATGTTCTATACAAATATGCATAATTTACACAGACTACAAATTCCAGCTTTTATTAACACAGAACATGTGTTATTATGCAGAATTTTGATTTGTCTTTCTTTCAAAACACAAGAGTGCACCTAATCCTGACATGGTCCTATTCTTTTTATAGAAGTATATTTCAACAATGGTACATTAGAGCTAACCTTCTACAGTGAAATATGAAGCAAAAATAAGGAAGGTGTAAGGACAGGTTTCTGTGAAACTGTAAAGTGCTATCTACATTGATGATACTACATAAATGAACAACAATTTTCTTTTCAGATGGCTTAGATATTGGGTGGTTACATGTAATGCTAAACCATGGCCCAACATTAAACCATGGTCCACGTGCACAAGCTGGAAAAAGTCAAGCTAGCCAAGCACTGATTGAAAAACTTTATTAAACTAATTAGGTTTGGTTTAAACCTGCTTGACTGATTCTGAATTCAGTAAAAGTGTAACCAAACTCTAAGGCCTCCTCCTGGCAGCATGAAAGGATGAAAAAGCATATGAACCTAAACATTTGCTCAGGGTTGTTTTAGCTTATGAATGCAGCATAAAACCATGGCATAATATTAGTTGTGAACAGGCAAGAAAACTCTATATGTAAAGCACTGCATCATAACATAGTACAAGTCAGTTCCAGGGCTCACAATTCCAGTGATACAAAAGCTCTCCTAGATTGCCAGCACATATATTTTTACTATCCCGTGTATTCTCACCAATTAGTACCTGCTGTTTAAAGTAAAAGCAATCCTAAAGCAAAATAACATGTTACTTACTTCTTGGCTTGTTTTTTGGCCTGCTTTCATATAGAAGATGAAAACAGTATCAAAAGGACGACATGGTAGCAAATCCAGGTAACCAATGTCATCAAAAAATCCAGGTAGAGAAGAATCAAGTGCAATCAGGTGAGGAGGTAGTCTGCTGTTAGCAGGTTCCTAACCAACAAAGAAGCAGTAAAGCTTTTATACTTCTACATGTCCTTCTGTAGTTATTAATGAACTATAATGAGCTATTTGAATGTGTTAATATACAACAAACTTATTCAATAAGATGCATTTTTTTGCTTGTTCGGGGGAAGAGCTCATATCAGTAGTCCCAGAGCACAGTATGAAAGCATATGATGCATAAGGAGATCCAGTCTGATCCATGTCTGCGCATGGGGCTACTTGGGAACTGTGTATCCATGTACCTTGCCTTCAATTTCATGATAGAAGAAACACGGAATATTTCTATAATGAGTATATCTGAAAGTCTGGCATATAAGACCCTCTCCTTCACTCTCACACTCAATCTTCCATCTGCATAGATAAATGGCATCACAATAGCCAACTCTTCTGAAAATAATCTGCATAATATTTGTTACTGTTTATTGTTCTGCTTGATTGCATAAGTTCTGCCTAATAAAGAGCATAAGCTGTTGGAACCAATGTTAAATAATAGTCACATCAACTGTGATAGTTGCACAAAACAAAACCACACCACCTGTATAATGTCAAGTAAAGTCTCCAGTCACCTTCAGTGCTTCCAGTGACAGAAATCCAAAGTGAGAGAGGAAGAGGCGTGCTGTTTGGAACTCCTGTGCAGGAGGTGGTGGCTTACACTCTGTAACTGGATCAGGGAAATTCTTCCTTCTCCATTCATCCTCCATCTGCTGATCTATAGACTTCTCATAAAGAACTTGCTGATCCATACCGTTTCTCAGCTTCTCATGCCGCTCCTCCAGCTGAAATGTATTTAACACTCTCATTTCAGACATCGAAATTTGCTGAGTGCAATAGCAACCCACTAAGTGTGGTAGTACCTCCTCTGGGAAGCTGAACAATACTGGAGCTGAGTACCAGTAAAAGCTGCTTCATATTTGCTCTTACATTCTAATAAAATTCTGACAACTGATGTTTATCAACTGTTCAGCCCTTACCCTGACTTTTCATCTCCACAGGATACAGAAGGAATAAAAACCCTATGCAAGAGTTTGCCTGCACATGGGCAGAGCTAAAGTGGGGAGGGTCATATGTAAGCCCCATCTCCTAACATTTCTGTAATCCCCTTAAATCAGTGGTAGCCATGAAGTTCACTCTACTCCATTCAAAAATATTTTTAAACCCCTTGGAATATGCTAGAGTAGTCTTGTTTTCCTTTCTAACTCTAAATTTTCTCTTTCAGTGCTCTGTATTTTTTGCCTTGCTATTTCTCTCTTCCTCCCAGCCTCTAGCCTCACAATTTCTCTCACTAAAAACTCCTTAGCAAACTTTTGACTAGCCAGGTCCCCAAAGCATCTGTTATGCGACTAGCCAAATTCTCCATGAGAGATATTTTGTAGTGGTACATAGCAGGGTCTTTGATTCCTAAATATATCCATGGGTCTGAAAAGACTGGTGATGCCTATTCTCGATCTGCAAAGGTTCCTGTAAGACAAGGTTCTCAACCAGGGAAGTTCTGTAAGCTCTTACAAGGCAGCTGGGTATGTGGGGGTGTTGAAAGGGAGGGATGTATCTGTACCCACATCACCTCTTCACTTTAGTTCTATTTGAGTACAGATAAATGCCTGCACAGGGTTAAGGACAGCGGGATATTCTGTCCCAAACTGACACCAACATCTGCTTCAGCAATGCTTGATTTAGTGTTGGGGATAAAATGGAAAGATGGATAACCTTGTACACTGTTGTTCTGAATTCCTTGCAAAGGAAGAAAGGCATGCTGTAAATTTAACAGCAGTAGCAGCATTTCCATACAGACACCAGGGAGAATGTCAATAGATAGGACTGCTGAAATGATTATGGTGCATCAGGTACTTTTATTTAGTTGGAGAGATCAGCATGAATACAATTAAAGCAGTAAAATTTGCTAAGAAGAATACAATAACCCCTCAAGTACAATGACCAGCCACTTTTCTTGAGCCACATACACAGGAAATAAATAAAAAAGCATAAATCTCTTACTTCCTCAGTAACTATTTCATGCAAATCTGGAATGCTCAGGTCTGCTTTCACAAAAGGGATCTTGTCCACCTCCTCAGGAAATGGGCGGTGTTTCACACTATATTTTACTCCAACATCATTTTTAGGTGTAGGTCGAGGTTCTGGGACAAACATCTGCTTTCAGAAAGAGAAAAAAAAATCTCATTTTTTTTAGAAATTTGTCAAATATTTCCTGATAATTCAATAGCAATTTACTTTTGCATCAAATACCAAGGAAAGTTGTTTGGGGTTTTTTTGAAAGGGGAGGTTTTACATTGAAAGTTATTAATAACCAATAGCAATTAACTTTGCTAATGGTTTATCATAAATTGGATATTGATTCTGATACTGTATGCCTGGATTCTAATTTGGAACTTATCCCAAAACAGAAAACCAAGATCAAGCAAGCAAAGATGAAAAGGTACAGGTCTTGAATGATTTCTGGTTTTAACATTTTTTGAGAGAAGGAGTACATACTAGTAAGTCACACCCATGCCTGAAGATATTCATTTTTACAAGTATACACAAAAGTATTATTACAGTACATTTCCACGTGCTTGAAGATACGGATACTAATTCACATAGTGCAACCATTGCCCCTAAATTATATGAAAGTGGCTCTAAATATTCTTTGGAAGCTATACTGGTTGTCTGTATTCATGTTTTAAGACAGCATTTTCAAGGTCTTTACTATGTATTATGGAACTATTTGTAATAAGGCATCTGAAGATAATTAATATGAAAATTCTGCTTATGAGAAATTTTTGTTTAGTCAGCTTCAGCCTGATACTGTTTTGCGTGACAGCCCCAAACAAAGCAATGCAATTACTGTAGAGAAATTTTAATGCATGCTTCCCACTCCATCCAAACTCTCAGAGTAGGTTGCTACTATTGGATACTATGAAATTGTATAATCATTAAATGTGATATTTAACAACTCACACATGTATGTATGTCACCAGGATAATGCAGAAGATAAATATAATTGCTACTCAGATAATTCAGGACATCTGAATTAAACAGCTTCCTCACTGCAATGGTGGGTAAGTGGTTTTGGAACAGAGCAAACTATATTCACTGTGAGCTTTGATAAAGACCTTTTGATTAGCTTTGGCTCCTCTTGGCAAAAGGCAAAGCTGCTGGGCCCATGCATGTCTTCCAGACATTCCACGGATCAGAATTGTGACTGAAGGAAAAAAGTCATCTGAAGAAGAAATGTATTTGCATGAAAGCTTCTTTAATACAGTAATAGACACAAATTAAGCATGTAATATATATAAGCAAATAAAGTCAGTCCTATAGTTTGGCAAACTCAGAAACCAGTCTCAATTGTAAATAAAAACATAATTCTTCCTTTCTGTGCAGAACATGCAGTTGGGGGAGGGCAGAATTCCTGGGTTCCTCCCTTAAAAAGAGAAACTAAAAAGTTCTTTTTAGGTTAATAGGGAAATGGAGCAGTTAACAGACAGTTCCACAATGTTTCCAATACAGAATACAGTAAACAGCACTTTCCTAGGGTCCCAGATGCTCACAGCAAGGCTGCAAGAACTTTAGTCGTACACCTAAAGATTTTTTTTTAAATCCTGCTTAAATACCTGCAATCCAGTTAAGAAAGTGGACAACGTTTGGGGGGGGGGACCTTACAAGCAACACATGAATGCAATAGCACCCTTCTGGTTATGTTTCCCAGTAACTGGAATTAAGAAGCATACTGCTTCTGCACTAGAGTTTATATATGACTATCATGACTGGTAGCCATTGATAACCTTATCCTCCATGAATGTGCTTCTCTTTCATGAAGCTACTAAGGCTGTAGCTCTATACTCACATACTTGGGCTATGTCCCATGAACTCAAAGGATGTTACTTTGGAGTAGCCATCATATGATTGTACTGTGATTTTAGTCTACTAACTTTTAGCACAGCTCCTCTCCCATTTGCAACAGGGGGAAAATACCACTATATCTATGGGATTGTTGTAAAGATTAGTGAAATGGTATATGTGCTGAAAAAGTATTACCATCTAACCCCACCTCTTGAAAGGACTGTGCATCTAGAATGAGCATTCTGTACTAAATTATCACTTGAAAAAAATCAACATTTTTAAAGCAATAAATTTCAGTTCGTGAAAAATACAAATACAACTGTCTCAGTCGCACAATATATTCTGGTTACAGAGCAGTGAGGGAAGCTGATTCTGACTGAGGGCTTAGCTTAAGGACAAGAAATAAAGAGAAGTAGTAGTAGTAGTAGTAGTAGTAGTAGTAATTATTCTCAGTTTGACGCTTTAGTATTTCCTTTTGCAAAAAAACGATGTACATGAGTATATCAACTACATGTATCTAGATTTTGGCTGTATATTAATATCTGCAGCCAAATATTGGCTGCTATACTTATTTTTAATTTTTTTGACTAATTTGCTGCAAACCATCCTGGGACTTTTTAAGTATGGGACAGTATAGAAAATAAATGTATGTATGTATGTTTAAATTGTAATTATGGAACTCCCTTTTTAAGTGGGCTCATTTGTTCTGCCCTGTTAGCTTTTAAAGAATAAGGTGAATCTGTTCTGTTTCAGAGACAAGCTAATTGATTAATGATGTATTGTCTGCTGAGATTGGCTGATTGATTGGGTTTTGCTGCTGTTGGTTCAGACTTCTGTATTAACAACTATAGCTTAGTTTGATGTTAGATAAATTATTTTTATGATGATTTTTATTTGTTTTAGTATCTGACAGGTCAAAAGCCAAGGTATAAATATTTTCAATAGATTTGAAAAAAAGATGACATATATTGATCTACACAGCTGCTAAACCAAAAATTTCACTATCTACAAATCTCTAACTAGAAATAGCTTTAAGGAATATGTTTAGATCTAGAAAGACAATTCTGAGATGTTGTTGGCATTATAGTCTGATGAAAATGGACAAACATTCAGAGAATATGGCACAAAGGATTTTATAGACTGAGACTGCATTTGTTCAGATGATCATCTCTCAGTATAGTAAGCTGATTTATGAGTAAAACTGTTGCTCACACATGGAACTCCTTCACAAAATAAGCAAGTACATCAGAAATATTCTTATGGCCATAGTCTTCCATTTTGTCCAAACCATGGTATTATGGTTACCAACTCTGGAATAAGGCCGAACACTCAAACAGGATATAAGATCATCTAGACTGGTCCATTATGCAAGCATTCTTGGATCTGATGTCTGAACATTTACTATGGCAGAGTTGCACAATTCTCCACAGCTCTGCAGGATATATCATAAAGTAGGACACCAGTGTAATGAAACAGGTGGTGATCAAGCAAGTCTTGTTGTCATCCAGTTGAAGACATTTACATACTTGCTTTAGAAGACATAAAATGGATTTACTCACTTTGCTCATTTCCTAGGGGTTGCTCCAACATTGCAAGGATGACACTGTTGTCCAGGACAAAGTAGCGAAAACTATATTTGTTTATGGAAGGCAGACGAGAATATTTAATTAAGGTGATTTCATTCACCAAGCTGCAAGGGGAGGCAGGGCCACTGGGTGAAGGAAAAGCTCCAAGTATTTGCATGATGCTGTAAACCAAGAGAAATATCTAGTCAAACTATGCAGTCACAGAAAATGCTGGAGAGAGAAACACATGGATCTACAGGTACTTTTAAGATGAACTGATGAGGAAGCATACAGTATACATTCCTAGCTACTGTACCATACCGTACTGTACCGTATCATAACACTAGGTTCAAATACAAATAGGGGAACAGAAAAGAATCTGCTCAGTTGGAAAATTCTTGAAACAGAGAAATTAAATTCCTTTGTTCTATACACATAAATTCACATTTCTTTTTAAAAAATGCTTGTAATACTTTTAAATCTTAAGAAAGCCCATCTTGAGCAGCTTGGCTGTGGAGGAGATAGCCTGCTAGGATTTTTTAAAATGTTGCCCATCACTATTTTAAAAACTTAACGTTTTTCCAGCAATTACTGAATTGTCTTCAATAAACTTTCATACCATGTGAGAGTAGCTTCAGCTGCATCCTTTACCCTCATGGAAGCAGGATTTGGCTCCTTATCTCCTTTGTACTTGACTTCTTGTTCACTATTTCTGGATTTACTTCCTGAGATGCCCAGTTCCACAATCTCCAACACTTCTTTTAAACAATCCTAGAGGGGGACAAATATTACCAGTCAAGTGTTTGGCAAATTCACTAAGCCCACTGTACATGAATCTACCAGTGCCTTTTTATCAAAGAAAACTGAAAGGACTAAAATCACTTCATACACAATCTACTTTTGAGCACACTCCATTTGTTAGATTCCCATGACACTGTACACAGCTTCTATGTTATGTGGTTGCATTTTCCTTAGAATCATCAAGTGGAAGGTGCTACCCACCACTAGCATATGTGTGTGGACTCATTGTGTTGTTATTAAATGGGAGATTTGGATCCTTGACTTCACCTGCTACTGTGCAAGGAATAATATATGATAGTGAAAATTCAGAGAAAAGACTGGATGGGTAATTAATTTTGATGATTAATGTCTGCCTTGCCTTAAACCCCCAAGGAGGAGGGAACTGATTTCAACGTGCACAGCAGGGATATAAAACAGAAGGATTTATGGCCAGAGAAGACTCTCTCAAGTACTTCAGTGTGGCCCACAGCATCCTTACTACATGCTACACATTACTAAATTCCTTTCAGAGATAAGAGACTGCTTCTTCTTCTTCTTAGTGCCAAAAGGGCTGACCCACCAGGACTTGCTACAGCGTGTAATAGTAGCAGCCAGTGATGAGTTTTGATAGCTTCCATTTGTGGAGCAGGAATACCCAGTGCCCCCTCTCCCTCTGTGTGTATGTGGGCGCATGTGAGAGTGAGAGTGAGAGTGAGAGTGAGAGTGAGAGAGAGAGAGAGAGAGAGAGAGAGAGAGAGAGGGAGGGAATATCATTGTATAAATGTTTAAAATACATCTCATGCATCTAGAACTACACTAATAATTCTGTTACCCTCACTCTATAGCTTTACTGAGACAAAATTGAGGGTTTATTGTCACACTGATATTTCTAAACCTTCTGAACTGCTAGATGGTGAAATATGGGGATGAGATGCTATAATCTCATCCCCATATAACATGAATCCTCAAACTATGGCCCAGGGGTCAGATCTGGCCCACCATGCCCATTTATCCGGTCCACCATGCCCATTTGGACCTGCCGCACACGCGCCGCCACCCACCTTGCCCCGCGCGCAGGGAGGCAGCAGTTAGCTCACCTGGAAAAAATTATCTCCAAACAAGCAAGCCGCTGCCTTGTGTTCCTGCCTCGCAGCACGTGCCCTCCCCCGCCTCACCTCCCCTCGCCACACACCCCACCTCAGTGTGCGTGTCTGCACCACCCCTGCCCCTGTGCCGGCCCACGCGCACCGCTGGCACCAACTTTCCGGCACACACCCAGCACCGGCACCTTTCAACTGGCCCCTTGGTTAAAAAGTTTGAGGACCCCTGCCATACAGGATGAGCTCCTCCCCATATGAGATGAAAGAGCTTGTGATAATACAATCTTAAATAATGTAGTTTATCTATAAGTAAACTCACTAGAAAACCAGGAAACCCACCTTTTCCTCAAGCATGTCTGGATGTTCAGTGAGCCATACACAAAGACACTGAAATGCTGCTACTATCATGGAGTGAAGATCTCTGGAATGAAGAGGAGCTGGACGACTACACTGGTATACAATATAACTGCATACAGAGCTAATAGCTCTTTTCCTGTCTGAAGAATCAACACCAACCTTTACCTGAAATAAGTAGTGCAAACTTATGTTCAGCTGGAAGCCTCTTTAGGAAGTAACCATAAATTATTGTTGTCCTTTCCAAATATAAACATAAGCACAAAGTGCATAAAATAGCCTTAAAACAAATGATGGTACAGAATGGAACAAGACACACGAGTGTTCTGGATTTAGTGCACATCCAGTTACCGATGAAAAATACTGCTATCTCTTACCTATTTATTTTATTTCAGTAGGTATGCTATTCTAGTTGGACTGCTAACAATGAGAATTTTCTTTTCAAATGGGAAGGCAATTGAAATCACACACTTTATGAGAAAAATTCCTCTGTTGCATGAAACTAAATGTTTGGCCAGCTCTGTCAGTTGTTCTCCAGCTGAGGAGGGAAAACTGTCTACAGTATCAGGCAAGAATAGCTGGTTGGGAAGGATACAGAACCAGAAGTCAAATCCTATAGTCTAGCAGAGGCTGTCTCCAGACGAGAGGTTGGCTGATGCTTACCTTTGCCAAACCAGAAAGAAGTTCTAATGCAGCCAGTGAGATGCTCATTTCCTGCCTCCACTGTGCATTGAGCCTTTGGGTTACCAAATGAATGCTGCGAATCAGGAGTCCAGCTGCTGTATCTGTATGAAGAGCTAGAATATAAACCCCAATACCACACACCACAGGGAGGGAAAACAACTAAGCATTAGTAACAGTCAGCAAAGCGGTCCATCAGGCAAAAGCTCAAGCAGCCACAACATACACAGAAAACAAGATACACATGCATTTGAGAAACAAAACATTCAGCAATTCATACAGGTAACTCAGACAGTTTATTAAGAAGCTCTGTACTGATGTAAGCAGTTCTTGAAGATGTTGCTAGAGAAATCACTGAAACTTTTTCTAACTTCAGTTGCCTCTCTCTATGTCTTTCAGATTTTAACATCTAAGGCCAGGGACTGTTTTTTATTTATTTTCATAACCATTTTGGAAGCCTTTTTCAGAAGCAGGAGTGTGAAGTAAAAAATACTTCATAGAAATGGAAGTAAAAATTCCAATATGTATTATTAGTAAGAACCTGTTTAGTTACCAGTATTCAAGTTCTCACACAAATTAGGACTGCAACAGTTTTCCATGCCTCAGGCTGACTATGTGCACATATAACAAGCATACGGTTGTCTCCAAACATTGTTTGTCCTATGTTAATCCAGCAAGTTTTGCCAGTCAAACAACTATGAATCCTTTGCTGTGGGGGAGAGAATTTCTATCTTAATAAGGATCTAGGAAATGTCCTGGTTGGTAATTCAGATCTCCAATGAAAACAGATTTGATATAATTTTAAAGAATACTGTTTACTACTTTTCACAACTGTCCAAATACATCAGCCTGCACTCAATATACAACTGGAAGCATTTTCCCTGTGGGATGGGGCCAGCAGGTTTGAGGTAAGTGGTTTATTTTGGTTTTTTAATACAGGATTAATTTTATCAACCTAGGGTTGAAATATTTTTAAATATGTCATTTGTAAAAAGTATCTTTGACAGTTTGAAAAGATCATCCCCAGGTATTCTTAGAACTGAATTAGGATTTTAATACACCAAAAAATAAAATTCCAGACACTTTTCTACAATGCATGCTTGAAACTAAATAGAAAATGTTTGAAAACATCTATGTTCTTACAAGAATTAATCTCTCAGATAATTATGTCTTCCATCTACATGCACTTTGAAATCCCTGTCAGTGTAACCTGATTAGATATTTTCAAATCCAGAGAATTAAGGTAGGATATTTAAACAGATCTAAAGAATCTGTTGAGGAAAAAGGTAGCCACTTCATTTCTTTTCCCAAAGGTAGAGTCAACATGTAGGAGATTGGCTCTTCCCAGAAAATATATTGTAGATTCCATTTTAAATAGATGGAAACAAAAGGAATTTTACATAGTATGTTTTTGGGTTACCTTATTAGCCTCACAACTTGGCAAAGCAGTACAGAAAGCTATTGTAGGGATTAGGCCCACTTCTCTCCAAATACCATGTTCCAAGGTTGAGACTTCAGATTCTGAACCAGAACTGGAAGAAGAGGTGGGATCAGAACTCTTAGCAAAAATGCCAAGGCCAAAAGGACCAGCAATAAGCCCAGAGGCCAGAAGGAGAATAACAGGAGTTAGATGGGGGCATGATCAGACTCATAGTCTGGGGTCAGATCAAAAGAGGAGACCAACTGAATAGCATCCAAAGTTCCAGCCATCTGGGCCACAAGCAGCAGAAGCCACTTGAGTGAGGAACTAACTACTTCTGGTTTAGGAAGGAAGAAGAGGAATTCTGCCTGGAACCATATTCTCAATTGGTATTCTAACTTTGCTGGAGTCTTTTCTAAATGATCTCCACAGTACTCTTGTTTTGTATCACAAAGCCAGTCCAGTTGGTCAGTTTTAACATAATAAAGACTGCAGTTAAATGCCTCTTCTCCTGGGGAGGGAGACACTGCGGAGTTGTGGGGGAAGAGATTGAGGAGAAGTTCCTTGAACCTGTAATGAGATGACAGACTAAACAAGTAGACAAATTAAGAAGTGTCCAACATTCCTGCTGTCTAGCACTCAAAGCAGCAGGGGACACTCTTTTCTGAAAGGGAGGAAAGGAGAGGATGTTTCAGTTTGGAGTCAACTTTTACACGGGCCGATGCATCTCTCACATCCGTAGGAGAATTTGACTTTGATTTATATTATACTGTAACTGGTCAGGCTTTATAAAAAGGATCATGCTTTTCAGTTCTCATCTATGCCTGCTGAGAGGAAACTAGGGAAAGAGAAACATGTTTATGACATTTTCCCTCCCCATCTACACACGTAACCACTTCGGCTCATATTTTCTGAAACGCTGATAATTCTCTTCTTAAGAGGATGTTAATTAGGTGTTTTTGATACTCAGTAAAGTTAATGTTGTAGCCCCACAGCAAGATTTTTATAGTGGTTGATGCTCTGCGGTCAGCTGAAGTGGAGTGTACAACAAAATGTTTGGAATAAGAAGTAAAAAAAAACCTCAGCCAGCAATACTTGACTACACAGTATAAATCCACCCACAAATAAGATGTTAAACTTTGTTGGGTAAAGGTACAGTATGCCAGGGAATTAAATTCACCAAACTTAGTTGCTTCAAGGCTATGGAATGAATTCTCTACTGAAGTATTGTTTAATGGTTAGCTTACAGATTTGATAATTTACCATGTTTATGTGCTAAATTATTGCAAGTTTTCTGGGGAAAGAGAAATAGCTGCCTCAAGAAAATTAAGACAACAAAGTATAAATTAAAAATAAGGGCCTCCACTTCACAGAAAAGCATCTCAAATATGAACTAAAAGTGTGAAGTGTTCACATCTCACATATTGCACTGATGCCACAAAACCATGAGAAAACTGCATCTGTCAAAGCTATCTCAATTTAACATTTGAAATGCCAGTGCTGCAGCAGCCTACTGGTGTTTATCTGAGAATTCGTTTTTATTCTGTTATTATGTATGGGTAGTTTAAACTTGCAAATAGCAGAGACAGCTTTCAATTCCACGGAAATCTGGTACACTCAGCTGATGCTTCAGTATAGTAAATGGATGGAGAATCTTTTAATATGCATGAAGAAGATCAGGCCATTTACTGATATTTTAAAATCCTTAATTACTGAATATGAGATCTTATTGTGCTTTCAGGAAATGACTATTTGGAGTATCCAGATACTGTCCAAATAGGATGCTCCAAGTCTCATCTGGTTTGTTGGATTTACATTGGAGAACACTCACCATGAACCCCAGAGTATATACTCGTATATGACATAACATAAAATAGTAGTATCTCAATGCAAAATGGATAAGTATGTGAATCAAAAGCATTTCTGATTCAAAAGGACATTTCAGGTTTAATTCAATTGCCACAGGAAAAATTGCAAGATTGCTGATCTAAATAAAACAAATATGCATTTGCTCTGCCAGCTCCTGAAATACACTCTTACAAAATTCAGAACTGTTAGGCACTGCTCTTTAAACACATTTGCAGCACACAATAACACACATAAATCTTAAGACAGATCTGGTTAATATTGATTAAAATTGTAAGCAAAATGAGAAACATTTTGGAGAATTCTTGATTTTGGAGCAGTGCTAGTACATGGAACAGATTTAGTTAACTCTCTGTAGTTAGCTCTTGTAAAATGCAAGTGCACCAAGTGCATGAAATTGAAGACAAAAACAAGAATTGGGAAACAACACATTATTATACTAAGTTAGATCACCTTCCTAGCTGCAGTGTGGTTAGCAGCTGAGATGAAGCCACAAATATTACACTGTCCATGAAAAACTAAACTGTATGCTATAAGAGCCTCCAATATGCTCTCCTAGCTGAAAGACAAAGGAATGAGGATTAAGTGTCCATAGGTGTCTGTTAACAAAAGGCTGCAGCAAAAAATAAAACATTAAAAAATGATGGGGTGGCCAAAGGGCTAGAGCAGTCACCCAAAAATCCTAAGCACAAACCATGATATTCTTCCCTCCTTTGATAATCTATCATAATTGTTGTAATTCATTTGCCTTTTTCCTTTGTTTTTTAGACAAAGGAACTCAAAGTGCCCCAAATAATTCAACTGATAACCTCTTCTGCCGAGCACTCAAACAAAAATAATGAGGTCTGTATAAGAGGAAATAACTAAAAAGTGCAATTCCTTACCATAATCTCTTAGGAGAGCTTGTGCTGGTCTCTCACTGTCAGGAGTAGTGGGCTCTGTGCTTCCTCCACTTGCTGTGCTAATGCCACTGTTCGTGCGACTGTGGCTTTTCAAGACAGTATTTTCACTACCATTCTGTTAGGTTAGAAAAAAGATTTCTATGAAGAAACATACTGTTGATTATCCAGCTGAAAAATAAACTTTGTGCTCTAGTTATAGGATATGTTTCTGTAACCCAACAAATAACTAGGCAACTTTTTTCAAAATAAAATAAATCTTACTGTCTCCATCTGGCAACCAATAGCTTCTAGAAGTGCTGAATCTTGCACGATGTTCAACATTGCACCTGCAGAATTGAAAAATACCAAGATTTTATATCTGAGATGTCTATGGCACATACAGAGCAAACAACCCTCCCCCAGTCATTATATCTAATACTGTTTATATTTTTCACAAATGATTTAGTAAATTTTCTTTGAATTCTTAAGTGAAATATTCCAACTTCTTGGAAAATTCAGAATTGCCATGCACATTCACACACACACACAAAACAAAGGTAGCTGTGTTGGCTCATGCCATCTCAACATTGTTACTACGGAAACATCATTACTTCACCATTATCAGGATGCCTCTACTTCCTTCCCCATCCATTCAAATATGGAGATCTTGTAACATTTCATTGTTGGCAACCTTTGGTTGGGCCAGTGAAGCTATTACACTTATATGTGGAAATCTCCTGGGAAAACAACTGAAGATGAAACCATTCCCCCACATTTTGTTTCATCTTCTCAATAGTCAGTCAGCACTACATGGCAACTTGAGCAAGCTCAGTTCTCCCCTCAAGAGTTACTTTATTTCATAACCTCCAAAACCTACCAATATCTTTCTATCGTAAGAGTACAGTGCTATTTTGGCCACATAAGGGATGACGGAGGATGTGTTTGCTATCAGTATACAGAAAATTTATCCAATACAGTGTCTTTCCAGATATGTTGGGGGCTGATATATAAGATACAACCAATAAAAGTCGCATACTATCTGTATGCCTATGATTCAATACAGTGATGTTTTTAATGGATATTATACACCAAAAACAAAAGGAAATTTTCAAGGTATTTAGAAATACAAAGCTGTAAAAATATAAAGAATTACCAGAAAGCCTTGAGGGAATAATGTAAATCAACACAACAAAACAGTAATTGTGAGCTAAAGCTATTGAGAAATCTTAGAAAAGCATTACATAAAGTACTAAAGGGAAAACAGGTGAGCTTTGGAACAGGGTGCTCAGCAATGTATCGCAATGTTTTGTTTGCCAAACTATCAACTTTGTTTCTTAAAAACAGTAAAAATAAACCAAATTGTTCCCTGAACACAAAATTAAGATATTTTAGCTTTGCCAAATGAATTGATTTTTCAGGAATTCTTTTTCCATTATCACTATACTATTTCCTCTCGTATAATAGTCTCTGCCATGACAAATAGCAGTAACTGATAAAATATTTTTGCTAAATTGCTATTTTATTTAATATATTTATATTCCCTTTTTCCTTTCAAGGAACTCAAGGCAACTTATATTCTTCTCGTCCTCTTGATCCTATTCTCACAGCAACCCTGTGGGGTATATTGGGATGAGAGTCTGTGACTGACCCAAAGTCACCCAGCTGAGTGGGGACTAGAGGCAAAATCTCCTGAGTCCCAGTCCCACACTCTTACCTCCTATAGCACATTTTTTATTTATTTATTTATTTATTTATTTATTTAAGCATTTTTATGCCGCCCCATTCGCCGAAGCCTCGGGGCGGCTTCCAACAATAAGTTAAAAAATAATTATAATATTAAATTTAAAAATATAAACATTAGGTTAAAAATACAAAAATACCAATATAAAATAAGCCGCCCTGGCCAGGTAAAATCCAATAATATTAACAGCTAAAATGCCGCTTAAATAAAAAGGTCTTCGCCTGGCGCCGAAAAACAAATAACGACGGCGCCAGGCAGACCTCTCTGGGGAGCGCATTCCATAACTTAGGCGCCACCGCAGAGAAAGCCCTCCTCCGAGGGCCCACCCTCCTAATTTCTTTCACGGAGGGTTCCCGGAGAAGGGCCTCTCCCGCCGATCTCAAGGGGCGGCCGGGCATATATGGATGTAAGGAGAGCCATGGAACTTTAAGAAACAGAGGTAAATAATCTTACCTTAAATAGAGAGAAGAAATGAAATGCAGAAATTGTAATGGATCGGAAGGATAACTAATATGCCATAAGTAATGTAAGTGGTTCACACATCACACTAAGCAACACTGACCGAGTTTGCATAACATGACAGTCCATTGTCATGTTATTGACTGACAAAACATGACATAGTTGTCATGTGGAAAACTAGTCACAGTGACTTGCTTTATTGTCTTCTAAAGTTTGACTTAATTTTCAGTAACAAGCCACCCTGACAAGCCATGACATATCATAGATTGCCATGTTATCCAAACTCTGAAGAACAATTTTATTGATAGTTGCCAGACATTAGTAGACTTAATCTTCTGTCTGAGCTATAACTCTGATCTATGACCACCTCTTCAAGTCAGCTCCTGAAGTCATTCCAATCATGGGACCCTGGCCTTGTCAGTATTCACATACAGCTTGAAGGCTAATGTGAACTTTAAGCTACCAAAGGCAAAGATGTTTTCAAAAGCACATCCCGCAGATGAAGTCAGAAAGCTACCTAATATCATCTGAGTGTTGTTGGGATCTGTTTCTGTCTGCAGTGCTCCTATTAGTATATTCACAAGTCTCAGCTTCAAAGACAAGAAGGTGACTGGTTTATCATACGATGAACTGTCATCATTGCTGAATTTTCCTTCCAGAACAACCTAAAAAATAAATTGCTTTTGTCATCTATAGTAATATAAAGCTAGTTGCACTAGCATTTATTTTTTGTGCTGTTTTACATATTTAACAAGTATCTGATATATTTCAGTGGTGTCCAATATCCTATATCCCTACCACCTGGAAATTGAAAAAATGACAAAGTAGTAGTGCTACTTGGAGCTGTCAAACAGCAAAATTGGCCATGATGAAACCAGAGAAATAAGAACGGCAAAATAATGAAGCATAGCAGTTTTCTTATTCAATGTAAAATGAACAAACTTTTAACATCATGTGTGTGTTTATATTTTCAGACTGTAAAGCTGGACTTACAAACATCATGCTTTTCCAATTCTTGATTTGTTCTGTTAAGAAATATTAATTCAGCACAAGAAGCCTTATGCTAGGACCACTGATCATAATCCCTGCTATGAATGCACTTCTCTCTTTTCTATGGAGTAGCAACATACATTTTTTGCAGAATCTTCTCTGCACTGATCTATCATAACCTCTGATTTAAAAGTACAACTATCTGTACACTAAGTTTGACTAAATGTGCAAAATATCACTTAAAACTTCTAAATTGATTACCTCTGATTTTATTGTTCCAAAATGATGTGGAAGAGGTAACAGTGAGAGTAAAATATTGATAGAGGCTCTTCTTAGTTCTGTGGGATTCACATATGCTTTAAATTTTGAGAGTTCCCTGAAAATAAAAATCAGATTTGAGTTGTTATCAACCAATTCTATTTTAATTTCCATCATGAGTCAAAATCCTTTCTTCCATCCTCAAACTTGAGAAAGATAAGAATATCTGTGCTAATCATTTATAGCCCATTACTTTATGGGAAGGGTATCAAGAAGACAATTACAAGTTCTTAAGGCTCTGAATACTTCCACCCTTACATCTGACTCAAGTAAGGGACTTGACTCAGATTTGATGTACCTGGAGCACTTTCTTGCTTGGTCTGTTCCTGCTTTCTGGGCAATAGGCATCAGAGCTAATTCTGCAGGGGCACCCATGCCCTATGGACCACCTTCTCTTTAGGACTACTTCTAGGGTCAGATGGCTACCAAAAGAGGCTTGGCAATGTGGACCATTATGTGTTTGCTCTTAATCCTTGAGGAACCCCTGGTATGTCTGGCATCCATGTAAGTGAACCTGGCAGGACTTCATCTGGGTTTTTACAGGGTCTTCCCAACCAACTCCCACAAATTTTATTTATTTATTTATTTATTAAAACATTTTTATGCTGCCCCATTCGCCGAAGCCTCGGGGCAGCTTACAACATAGATAAAACAATAAGTTAAAATCCATATAAAATAATCTTAATTAAAACACACATTATAAAATAAGCCGCCCTGGCCAGATAAAATTCAATTGTATTTAGCATTTAAAATGTTGCTTAAATAAAAAGGTCTTAGCCTGGCGCCGAAAAACAAATAACGACGGCGCCAGGCGGACCTCTCTGGGGAGCGCATAACTTAGGCGCCACCGCTGAGAAAGCCCTTCTCCGAGTAGCCACCCTCCTAATTTCTCTCACGGAGGGCCCCCGGAGAAGGGCCTCTCCCGCCGATCTCAGGGGGCGACTGGGCAAATATGGATGTAAGCGCTCCTTCAGGTAACCAGGACCCAAGCCGTTTAGGGCTTTACAGGTCATTACCAACACCTTGAATTGGGCCCGGACTTCAATGCGGAGCCAGTGAAGCTGACGGAGAACAAATGACTCCATAGCTTTTCTCTCCGACTTGCCTCCTCTGCTTGTTGACTGTTCTCCTTTTTTTTTCTTTGCCCTTCATTCTCTCTCTGCCTCTCTTATTTAGCTTTTTAATCCTACCCCATTAACCATAAGTCTCTATTTCCATTACCCCACTCATTGCCTCTGTTCCTTCTTCTCTCCTCCCTTTCTTCCTTCTCCCTTTCCTCTTCCACGCTTGTTCTCTTCCTCTGCATTCACTTTTCTCCTGTCTCATCAGTCTATCTTCTGACACCATTTTAAAAGGCCTCAGTCTCCTAATTTTCCTCACCCCTTATGACCAGCCTTCACTGAAGCTCCTGTTTGGTTGTGGCCATCAGGCCAACTGTCCCTGATATCAGTACCTGGCATGACTGCTCATGTCCAGCCCATTCCAACCCCAAGCATCATTGAGATGAAGACAGTTGAAAAGGTCACTCACATCACTGTTTTTAAAAATACACTCATGAACAGTCAGCATGTGTAGGATACTGTGATATGCTGGTGCTAGGAGCCTAGAGCATTCACTTCCCTGCAAGGATTTAGAGGAAGAAACCCTCCAGAATCTTTATTCAGGTACAACACAGTGGATTATGATTCCTGTGGTCTTTGTTTATGCAAAAACAATTAACATTCCAATTCAGAATCTAGATTCATCTCTGTTTCATGAGTGGATGGTATATGACCCTCTGAAGCATTTCTTAGTCTAATATCAATGTACAGTGGTGCTTTGGCTCGGGAACACCTTGGTTCACAACCAAATTGGGTCACAAACAAAAATTTCATGAGAATTTTGACTTGAGTCGCAAACTCCACATTGGGTGGCAACCAAGATCGTGGCCATCTCCTCTCCCCCTGGCCCCACATGGGGAGATGGCCACGATCGCAGTTGCATTTGTGCAGGGAAGACATAGCGGAGGTGGCAACAGAAGAACTTGCTGAACTCCAGAGTGAGCAGCAGAAGGCACTTGCCGAGGAGGATTCCACTGAGAAAGAGGAAGACAGGGAGGAGGTTAGCAGTGATGTGATACAATGCATTATGAAAAAGTGGAATGAGTGCCAGGATTTCTTTGAGAAGCACCACCCCAACATAACTGTAACAAACAGAGTGTTGAATCTGATGAACGATAACGTGGTCTCTCATTTCCGGAGGGTTATGCAGCACAGGAAAAAACAAGTGACTAGAGACAGATTTTTCACCACAATTGACCCTGCAGCTAAAAGAAAGGAAACCCCTGAAAGAGATCTCCCCAGTGACCTTATGGAGGGGAACTCTCCCTCGAAACAATAATCTCCCCCCACCTAGGTTAGTGCTCTCCACTCTACTGTACAGTACTTTGTTCTCTGTCACTTTGTTTCAAATTTTTATGATTTAAAAAAATAGTATCAGCATGGATTAACCTTAATTGCATTGAACCTTATGGGAAAATCTGACTTGGCTCGTGACCAAAAACTGGCTCACAACCACTTTCAGAAGGGCCAGAATGAATTAACCTTATTTACATTGAATCTTATGGGGAAATTTGACTTGGGTCACAACCAACTTGGGTCACAACCAGAGTCGTGGAATGGATTAACTTCGTGAGCCAAGGTACCACTGTAATTCTAAAAACTACTACATTTATGTCTTGAATGTACTAATCTTATAGTGTGGCCAAAGAGGTGAAAGTGGAGACAAGTAACAACACATCTACAACAAACACTTTCTTATGTAGAATAAGCTTACTACATTCAAGATGTAGTTTTCAAATGCAAAAAGGCACCTTTTCCATAGTAATTTAGTTTCAAAAAAGAGTAATTATGATACATCTGCCAACTCCAGTTTTACATTTGCCATATAATATGAAAATTATACTAGTCATGTCCAACTATGATGTATAAATTATAGGCAATCATTTTCATTATGCTTTTAATGTATTTCTCCATATTAAACAACTAGTTCACTTTGCTTTCGACCAAAACATCTCAAGCAAACATCAATAACCAGTGGCTAAAAGTGACAGAGAAATATAATTTGGTCCTTCCATTAGCATCAGTTTCTCCCATCCATTACCTTCAGTGAGGTATTTATTTATTTATTTATTTATTTAACAAAGTAAATGTGCACAACATAAATAGAATCTCTGTTTTTGACACACAGCAACAGTAATTTTATGCTGCATGACATCCAGGAACTAGAGGAATGTCTTTATAATTGTTCTATTCTTTCCAAACATACTTCTTTGCTCAGAAGAAGTTGTCTCTATAATCTGAAATTATGATTTTATAATCTTAAGGAAGCAGAAGAAAGCAATCTGTCAAAAACATTCAGAATCAAATAAATGAAATGAATATATAGAGAGATGTATATTTACCTGTCAGGTAAAATAGTTTCAAGTGCTGAAATGAAGTACGGAACTAAGACATCAATCCCTTTCAGGTCACAGCAGAACAGCGCTGGAGAGTTTAGAATAACACTAGCCAGAACGGGGTGGCAAATGGAATCTGCTATTTGCAGACCCTGAATTAAAAGCATGTAAAATCTGGCAGAGAAAGACAGGCTTAATGAGTTGTTAGAAAGCTGGGCCTACTAAACTGTAAGAAAGGAACATTTCCAATTAAATGCCATTAGGACAAGTTCACAAGGAAAAGGCAAAATCTGCATTTACATTTCAGTATCACAAGCATCTAAAATTATCTGCCACCTTTTCTATTTTAGCAATTAGTTGCAAATTGAACAGCATGATCATTTCAAGATGCAGGTATTTTGTTTAGTTACACCAAAAACAAATGTCAACCAGTGTCTAAGGGCAGCATGGAAATCTCTCGAACAACATTTAAAAACAGTTTTTAAAAACTTGAAATATAAAGGAACATGCTCTATTTACACTACTGCCATAATCCATACATGGTAGAAAAAGCAAACCACAAAAGATCTTAACCTATCTTTGTGCATGTATACCAGAAACAACTGAAAATATAGTATTCATCTTAAACATAAGGAAAATCAAAGAACTATAAAAAGGATTCGGAGATTAATGGTGCCTGGTAAGAATATTGCAGTTTCTATTAGAAAAAGTTCTCTTGATTAGTTTAGTGTGCTACTAGCAGACAGAGATGCTAACACTGTCTTCAACAAATTAAGTTCTCTTCATCTCTACTGTCAATGTGTTTGTCTTGACAAGGTTTCCTACGAGCAGCAGCCCTTGATGCAGAACAGGGGAAGCCAAGCAACATGCCACAACATGTTGCCACACATTACAGGAGAATAGTGGGAGAGCTCAAATGAATGTCTTCAGTAGCCATCGCCATGTCACCCAAAACAACTAGCTGTGTGTAATATTTTTACAGGTATTGAATAATGTATGTCAAATGGATTGCCTAAGTTTAGTAAAACATTCCCTTTCCTATATTGAAAAAAAGAAAACTTACATGCCTCTGTATTTAACTTCATTCAGATATAAAAGTTAACAGAGGAGTTGCACTACACCCACTCACTTCCCTTGTCTAGTACAGCCATTTTACTTTGCCTTTGTCTAGTACTGAGGTATTGCTACTTATATTTATATATGAAACACACACACACACACTTATTTTACCCCAAATACAAAATTTTTCCTACACTGTGTAATGACAAAGCATATAAAGTAGGAAATTCTATTCTATATTCATTTCATCTGAAAAAAGTTGAAAAAAGTTAAGTAAATTCTTCCTCTGCTTTTCTATAGTTAAGTTACAAAGATAGCAACTTATTCCGAATTGATGGAATTCATTTTTTTCAATTATTTGGATCATTTGGAGAACAAAGAAATTTCCATAAACTATAGGATACTTAATTACATGACACATTCAACAGCACATTCTGACAAGATAACAATTTAAAAGTCAAGCCAATACCGGGATAAGTAGGCTGGTAGTATGTCCTCCCCAGTCTTCTTGCTACAAAATATCCTACATAGAGTTCCACATGCCTCTGCTCTGCCTGATTCATAGTTGTCCGAAAATTCGCCTGCATCAAACATGGGATTGGAAGCCATAGTATCTGCAGACATTTGTGATCCTTTCCGGCGAAACTCCACATTAGCTTGTGTTGCTATAGCTAAGACAAAAATGAGAAGCACAGAGTTTCATTACATTTGTAAACATACTTGATAGGCTCATGGGATCCTGGACACAAAGATCAAGTCAAGTTTAGTCATCATAAAAGCCATTCTTTCACTGCTGCCTCTATTTATAAAGCATTAATAATTTTATGCTTTATAAAAAATAATTAATAATAAATTTAGGAATTATATGACTACATGTGTAAGAAATTTTAAAATCCTTTAATCTTCACTCACAAGTATATCACTTTCTCTCCAGCATTCTATACTGCACAATCCATGCTGCCCAAGCACTGAAGCCTCTGTTCCATTCACATTCTCACCCATATTCATCAACTTGAGTCCCTAAATAAAAATGAATGTCTTTCATTTTTCTGATCTTTTCTATCAACCTTTTATGGTTTCAAAAATAGACTCCTCTTAATTTCCCAATCTCTTTTAATTTTATTGTATTGTTTGCCACCATCATGAAACTACTCTAATATAGTCTATGCTGCGTAAACTAGGACTAGTGCAAACTTAGGAAACAGGAAGATGCCAGATTGCAATTGAAAGTTTGGGGAAAGGATATTGGGTGGTTAAAACTGGATGCTGGTTGGCTTCTGATTAAAAAGGGGGGCCACTGCCAATAAGCATGGAATGCTCTTTAGGAAGATGGGTGAAGATCCAGAAACCATTAGATTAATGCTTAATGTCCACAGTCACATGAAGTCTTTCACTTTTTGTCTGCAGCACCTTATGCTCTGTTGAAAACCACTTCACAGATCATCCTATCATCTGGAGTGGCTTTAAAGGTACACAAGGGGTTCTGGTGGGAAGGCGGGGCATCAGAAACAGAGAGCAAGGGTGAAGGCTCAGCTTACAATTCTTTGGTCCCTGTAATTAAGGGAAGGATCCTCTAAGTTTATCTAAAAATACATCCAGCTATACAAGTTGGCTCTTCACTTTCAACTACATATATTTATAACCCTATGTTGTTATCAATGCTCTGTCGAAAACACACTTTTTTATTCCTTCCAGTTGACACCTAATAAGAATTTGGCAGTAAGAATGCCCTTTCCCTAACCATTTTCAAATTTAGGAACATGAGAAAAGCAGGTTGCTTACCTGTAACTGATGTTCTTCGAGTGGCCATCTGTGCAGTCACACATATGGGTACTGCGCCTGCGCAGTGCCTTTGGCCGGAAGATTGAAAGCTAACGGTTTTTGGCGGGAAGCTCCACTCCCCTCCCCCATGGGCTATAAAGAGCGGAGCATCCGCCATTTGTTCAGTCTTTGACGACCGAACGTGCGCCCCCTTGTGGAAAAGTTCTCAGTATGAGATAGGAAAAAGGGATCGGTACCAAGAAAAAATGGGAAACTTTCGGTACCGATGAATGAGTCCACTCACCGACACCGAGCGGGGCCGGCGGGTGGGTTGTGTGACTGCACAGATGGCCACTCGAAGAACATCAGTTACAGGTAAGCAACCTGCTTTTCTTCGTCGTGGCCTCTGTGCATCACACATATGGGTAGATTAACAAGCTTACCATCAAAGGAGGAGGGAAGGTGTCCTCATTGTAGGACAGAGGAGAGTACAGCTCTACCGAAAGAGCAGTCCCATCGAGCCCGAATATCAAGACGGTAGTGCCTGGCAGAGGTGCAAGGGTTTGCCCATGTAGCGGCTCGGCAGACGTCATCGATCGGAACTCCGGATGCGAATGCAGAAGATGTAGCGACAGCTCTAGTGGAATGGCCTCGGGGAACTGTAGGCAGTTCGAGCTTAGCTAACTGAAAGCACAAGGTAATAGTGTGGACTATCCACTAAGACAGCCTTTGAGGAGTGACTGGGTCACCCTGATCTCTAGCCGAATATTTAATCAACAGTTTATTGGATCGCCGAATAGACTCCGTTCGCGATCGATAAAAGGCTAAACAACGCCGAACGTCGAGGGAGTGCAGAGACCTTTCCAAGGGATTCGATGGCGATGGAAAAAAGGCAGGCAGTACAATGTCTTGTCCTGAATGGAAAGGTGTAGAGACTTTGGGCAAGAAAGATGGGTCGAGACGTAAAACGACCTTTTCTCTGTGGAAGTTTAGATAAGGAGGGTTTATGCTGAGGGCGCAAAGCTCACTAGCTCTCCAGGCTGACGTGACAACTACAAGGAACGCCGTCTTCCACGAAACTAATCGGAGATCCACAGTCGCCAAAGGTTCAAAGGGGGCCCTCATAAGGGCCTGTAGAACTACAGAAAGGCTCCACGTGGGCATAACCAGTCTAATCGATGAATTAAGGTTATACAGTCCTTTCAAAAATCTCTTGAGAGTAGGATGAGAAAACAGGGGTGATCCGTCGACTAAGCCACGGTAGTAGGCTATTGCGGCCGTATACACTTTAATAGAAGACGGCTTAAGTCCGGAGTGATGCAACTCCAGAAGGAACTGAAGAATTTGTTCAATTGATGAGACAAGTGGGGAGAACGAATGAGACTCAGCGAAGGCAGAAAACCGCTTCCATTTAGCTGTACATGGCTTTCTTGTGGACGGCTTTAGAGCAGCGTCGATAATATGCTGAATCTCAGGGTGCAAAAGCGTTGGATTCGAATTCGACGGGGTCTGTCTCGAACCAGATGGTACAGAGAGATTGTGGCAGTGAGAAGCACCCGCATGGTTGGATTCGAGAATCGGGACCGAAGAGGTCGAAGTGATCGTTGAAACTGATGAATTAATAGAAGCTGTAGGATTCGAGGCTCTCGAATCCGTCGCCGGCCCCAATGGAAGGTCAATCATCGAATCCGCCATGCTGTCAGATTCAATGAGAGCAAGTCCAGGTGACAAAGTGTGCCATCTATTTGCGTTATAAGATACGGAAGTGTCGGAAGATGAAGAAACTCCCCGCGGGAGATATCGAGCAGTTTTGCAAACCACGCCTGGCGTGGCCACCAGGGGGCAACTAGTATCCCCGATGCACGGTCGCTCACTATCTTCGCTATGACCTTCATCAGAAGAGGGATCAGAGGGAAAGCATAAAAGTTGATGTTGTCCCAAGAAATCATGAATGAGTCCCCTAGGGATGCTTGTCCAATTCCCGTTCTCAAACAGTAAGTCTCGCACACCCTGTTCTGTTGGGTAGCGAATAGGTCCACATCGGGAAACCCCCAGCACCTGAACAGGTGGTTGCGCGTGCGAGGATCCAGTTCCCACTCGTGTGAAGTGAAGATGTGTCTGCTGAGAAGATCCGCATGCACGTTGTCTGTGCCGGCCAGATGAACGGCCATCAGAGTAATGTGTCTCGGAATGCACCAGTCCCAAATCGTCATAGAAAGCCTGGCTAAGGTCGGTGACTTCGTCCCTCCTTGCTTGTTCAGATAAAAAACGGTCGCTATATTGTCCGAAGTTATCTGAACGATCCGATGATGAAGGAGGTCTTCGAAAGAACGAAGGGCTTTGAAGACTGCCAGCAGCTCTAGGAAGTTGATATGATTCATGGACTCTAGACAAGTCCATGTTCCCTGGGTAGATAGGCCAGAGCAGATCGCCCCCCATCCTAGGAGAGACGCGTTGGTACCAAGAGTTATCGAAGGAGGTTGCGGCCTGAAGGGGACTCCCACCACGAGATTGGTCGGCTTCAGCCACCAGCACAGGGAGTGGAGCACGGAAGACGGGATCCGAATCCGTTTCGACTGTGGGTCTCTTTGTGGATGATACACCTTGTTGAAAAATAATTGTAGTGGGCGAAGCCGAAGTCTGGCATGTGGAACTACGGCAACTGTGGAGGCCATATGCCCCAGGACCCTCTGGATGGATCTCGCCGTAACCGTTCCCTCTTGTCGAATTCGATGAATATGGCGAGTGAGAGTCTGCTGTCTGTCCTGAGGGAAGAAGGCTTTCTCCAACGTCGAATCCAAGCAGGCTCCAATGAAGGTGAGCGTCTGTGTCGGAAGAAGAGAAGATTTCTCTGTATTAATACGTAGACCCAGACTATCTAGTAAGGCACGGGTTGTATGGATGGTGTCTAGTAGTGCTTCTCTGGATTGCGAGACTAACAGCCAGTCATCGAGGTACGGGTAAATTTGTATGCCCTGAAGGCATAGGAAGGCACAGACAGGAGCCACACATTTGGTAAAAATTCTCGGAGCTGAAGCCAGTCCGAAGGGTAAAACTTTAAACTCATAAAGTTGGTTTGCAACAGCAAAACGAAGGAAACGCCTGTAATTTGGATGAATTGAAATATGAAAGTAGGCGTCCTTCAGGTCCAGTGAGGCGAACCAATCCCCTCTCCTTAACAACGGCAAAATGTTTTGAAGGGTGGTCATACGAAACTTTCTCGGTATAATAAACTTATTCAAGTCCCGTAAATCCAAAATCCGTCCCGCTTGGGGACTGTAAAGTATCTGGAATAGAATCTGTGGAGTCCGTCAGATGCGAATACTTGACGAATTGCTCCTTTAAGGAGAAGTTGGTGTATTTCGTCGAGAAGTACCGGCGAACATGAAGTAGACCAGATCGGACTCAATGGAGGGACGATGTCGAATTCTATTCGATAGCCATATTGAACAATGGACAATACCCACCGGTCAGATGTGATGGACTCCCAAATGGGGAGTCGGCTTTGGAGCCAGTCCCCAGATGAGAGGGGGGTGGGTATTAAAGGAGCGTGAGGAGTGGTTCGCCAGTCCCGTCAGCGCTGTCTCCGATCGTCGAAACGACGGCGGCCCTGTTGGAAGCGCTGCTGGGGCTGAGGGCGACGACGCTGCTGCTGTTGTTGCTGGCGGGGTTGTGGCAGCTGTCTCTGTTGGTATGTCTGCCTGTAGGATGGCCAATCCCAGGACCACTTACGTCTGCTATGTGACTGGATCTCCATCCTGCGCGCTGTCATTCTTGACTCGTGTAGTTTCTTGAGTTTATGGTCGGTACGTGAATGGAAGAGTCCCAAACCATCAAAAGGCATCTCTTCTATTCGCCGCCTCGTTTCCTCCGGGAAATTACAACTCCGAAGCCATGCGTGTCTCCGGAGGGAAACGGCACCGACCAAGGCCCGGGAGTCAGTGTCCACGTGGTGACGTGCCGTGGACAACTGCTGCACTGCGACCTGCATGGCTTCTTTGATCAGGACCTTCGCAAGGTCCCCCTGGTGGTTTGGAAGGGTGGAGGCGACATTGTGGAGGCGCTGCATAATAAAATATTGATATCGCGCCAACGTCACCTCATAGTTAGAAATGCGAAGTCCTAAGCCCGAGGCAGCATAGACCCGCCTGGCCAGGGAATCTATTTTCCGGCCCTCCTTATCCCTCGGCGCCGTATGTCCCCTTGCCTCCCTGCCTTGCGAGGATTCGACGACCGCCGAGTTTGGTTTCGGGTGCTTTAACAGGAAGGGGATGTCTTCTTCCCTGACCCTGTACATAGATTCATATCTCCTGGACGTCGGTTGAGGATGTGAAGGTAGGTCCCAGGGCTGCGTCATCGCCTGCTGCAGGGTAGTTATAAGTGGCAGAACGATAGAGGTCGATTGCTCCCTGCGGACGTCATAAAACTTATCCGTCGACGGTCCCGGGCGCTGGGCAGCGTCGATGTCCAGGGACTGGACAAGCCTCGACATCAGCTCCGCGAAGGAGACGTGTGACTCATCGGGTGACGCAGGATCCTGGGATGTCACCACGACGTCCAGGGAGGTTGAGTCTACATCAGAGACATCCGAATCAGCACCATAGTATGGCGGGGCAGAAGATGATGACTCCGCCGGTGATAAGGAGCGGCTGCTTCCGCTTTGCGGGGATCGAGGCGGTACCCTCCTCGAATCCACAGACCGCGGTTGGTCATGGGGCGGAGGTGAGGATCGCGCTCTGGGAGCAGGGTAGTATCCCACAGAGAGCGGGTCTCCCCAAGGTTGGCAGTAGGGACGACGCCAACTCTCCGGGCGTTGCTCTACCGGGCGGCTCCTCCGATTCCCTGGTGGGGACAGGCCAGCTTCTGTCTCCACTGTCACCGTGGGCATCGGTGTCGGTGACCTCGCTCTGGGAAGGGAGTCCTGAATTTCCCCATCCGAGATAGACCCCCGTAGAGTTGGAAGGGGTGCTGGCGGGAGGTCGACCGCACGTCAGGGGGACCCCTGAGGGGTGACCCGCATAGCCTCTTGAAGGATCAGTTCGGGCGGGGTCGGTATCGTAACCGCCACCGGTACCGAAGGGCCCGTCGGCTCCGAGTCCCGATTTTGGGAACGATCCGTAGACTTAGCCTTCTTTAGAGGCTTAGAGGCCTTTTCCTTTCTGGCCTTCTTATGGCCTGCCGGCTTGTCTTCGGCATGTTTGTGCTTCTCATGCCTCTTTTTTGGTGAGGCAGAGGGGGCCAGCGAAGCGGACGCACCTTCATCCGAAGGGCGTGAGGGTAGAGCCACAGAAGCAGAGCCCGGTTTTGGGATAGAGATGAGCGGGTCTGATTGCATCAGAGCCCTATCCCAAAGGAGCCTCCGAAGCCGGTTTTCGCGGTTCTTCCTAGCCTGCTTAGAGAAGGCTAGGCAATGAACACACTTATCCGTCCTATGCCCCTCCCCAAGGCAGAGGAGGCATAGGTCATGCGGATCAGTAGGTGCCATTTTTGACCCGCAGTCAGCACATTTGCGGAAAGCCGCCCGCTGTGCCATCGCAGAAAAGGGAAGAAAAGAGAGATAGTGCAGATGGTAAGTATATATTTTTGGTTTTTTGTTTTTTTTAGATCGAAGAAGAAATGAGAGAAAACTACACAGAACGGGAAGCGAAGTAAGGGGAAAGTAGTTTAAGGTCAATATATAAGGAGAGAACCAAGAATAGCCGAAGGGAAAGTCAAAAGCGGCATGAGGCACAGCGAACGGCGGTCGCAAAGACTGAACAAATGGCGGACGCTCCGCTCTTTATAGCCCATGGGGGAGGGGAGCAGAGCTTCCTGCCAAAAACCGTTAGCTTTCAATCTTCCGGCCAAAGGCACTGCGCAGGCGCAGTGCCCATATGTGTGATGCACAGAGGCCACGACGAAGAATGGTTAGGTGCTTCAACTTTTCTAAAGAAAGCAAACAGTTTAGTGTTAAAATGGAAATGGATGTTGCCCCCCTGCAAAGGAGCCTAATTCTACCAATATTAAGGCAACTAAATTAGCTCAATATTACAATATTAGAGGAACACGTAAACAATCTTCCACAGCTTGATTCTAAGCCTGCTTACTCAGAACTCTCACTGAATTCCATCAGACTTACTCCCCATCCCCTCTCACCAAAGATAGTGTGCACAGGATGGCAATCAGTTACAATTTTACAAACAGAAACTCTGCTCATGTTTTGAATTTATTACAAATTTGATGAATTGACAATTTAGAAGAAGCACATCAGGATAGATATTTTATAAGATTTATCATATATATACACATGCACAGGTGCACATGTGTACACATACACACACACGTGTGTGTGTGTGTGTGTGTGTGTATACACACACACACACACATACAGATATCTTATATTTTTCTTCACTGTTTGTTTTTGGTTTGGCTTGTTTTTCATTTGTTTGTTTTTAAACAGCTAAAGCAACTAAACCCAAATCTTTATGCACCTTCCCATGAGCCATTTTGTCCTGAATACGCTATCCAGTAAAATATTATAATTAGAAAAAAAATACATGCAGAATGCATACATAAACAAACTAGGTCTGTGTAAAAATAAGCTTTAAGAAAAAAAACACGGTTAGTGCAAAGTCCTTAAATTTATGACATGATCACAGACTAGAGTACAGAAAATGATGGGACTGATTCAGGCAGATTAATTTGCTTTTGCCAACAATCTTCCCCATTTAAAAAAGCCATACACAGTCTTTCCCATGTAAAGAGCAAAAGCTATTAAGGGATGTTGATGATACAAATTAAAAATGGGGTTATGGAAAAAAGAAAATAAAAACATGACTGCAATTAAAGAGAAGCTACTAGTTCCTACTTACAAGATTTATAAGAAAGAAGAATTTGGATAAAAGATGCTGCAAGATAATAGAAATAAAATGGAAACAAATCAAAGGACAGCAGTAGTTATAAAATACTTTAAAGATGGTGAAACTGTAATAACAAGTTAAGCAGCTTTTAGATTTTGAAAAACAGATTGAAAGCTTATGATCTAGCAGGCTTGTTAAAACACACAGGAAATTGGTATTAGCTCCAAAATTATGATTTCATGCAGAACTATGAACAAAAGTTAGAAAAATATACTGCCTTTGGGTTAGTGTGTATGTATTGTATATGCAGACTTATGGAACTATTACCCTTTCCCAACTCAGACAATAATTTGCTTTATTTTGTTTACCAACAGCTAAAAACTACACTAGAATGAAATTGTAAGGGGTGGGGGGAGACAGAAAATTACCAAAAACTGTTTTAGTATTGTCCACCTTTCCTACATTAATCTGTTTATTTGCAGTTTCTATAAAGAAGTATGATCCAAACTTTTCCTCTTAGTCAAAGAAGAAGGTAGAAATAAAAGATTGAAATAGAATGACAGAAATAATGATAGAAAGAAAATGATTACTGGAGGAACTTTACCTTAAGGTTAGCCTGACTGTAGAAAAGTGAAAGGCTGAGGAACCAAATAACCTTGCAATAACCTTGCAAATAAACAGATCCCAAAGGGGAGCTGGACAGAGAACCTTTTTGAAGTAAAAATAGTAGATAAGCACCCTCTTTGTCACAATGAAAAAATCAGCATTAAATAGCCAACCTTTCCTGCTATATAGACAATCTTTTCAGCAACTATGAAAAATAGCGATTTGCATGAAAGCAAAAGAAGATAGTTTTGTTTTAAGTTAATATCAATTCAATTACTTAAGATATGCAGAGATCCTTAATTATTTACATAAAGGCATTCCTGAATCAAAGCAGTATAAATCATATCCTTAGAATTTTATAAAAATGGCCACAACCTGTATGGAATCACTTCACACAGCTTCCCACATATTTATTTATTCAATTTAAGGGCTGCCCATTAGCATCATGCTCTCTGGCTTCCATGTGGTTTGTCATTCCCATTCTTAGGCAATATGTGAATTGGCATCTGGTCTATGTTTCCTCCTAAAGAGTTGCATGTAAGCCTCAAACCAGACACCTAGGACTAAGAACAACTGAGGTAAGAAATAAGGTCTCTTCCCTTCCCTCTTCAAGGGTTCTGCAATCTGTAGCTACTATCAACAGGGGCACCTGGTATATATTCCATATTGTATTTTTTTTGTTTTTTGTTTTTTTCAAATGATTGCACCACACCATAAAATCCCCCAGTGCTTTAAAGGTAATTGTCTGTTTTGCAATTTGGTTGCATCTGTTGCTGCATTCAAATTGAAAGTGTGGAAAAGCCAATAACAAAAGAAAGGAATTTTCAGCCACCTCATTGATCTACATTCTAGTCTACAGTTAAAAGTTTCAATGACAGAAGCCCTGACACAAAAACAGTAACTCTATTAGGGGAAAATATTTTTTCCAAAAGCACATGTTTATACAAACAACAGGTAATATAAACCGCTGAAATACTTGACTATATTTCCATACATAGACTATCCAGATTTGCTGTTGCAGCTCTGAAAAAGCAAAACACAACTCCTCTCACCAAGTTAAAATATTGAAACTAAATGATGTTTCAATTTTAAAGAAAGATCTGAGATGCTAATGCTGAAAAAAAAAAACACACACACAAACTAATGCAGAGTATAAGACTAAGCAACAGAAAGGGGGCAAACATTACAAAACAACAGAAAAGAAATGGTATTCACAGTAGTATTTAAAACTTGCATAGACATATATTGGGTCAGTTGCTATGTCTAAAGCTGCCTTTAGCTTGCATGTATTTCCAGTCGCTGTTCTTAAGTAAAGGACTTTCCTGTCACCTGAAGACAGGAAGTCTCCTGTTACCTGGATACACCATACCACAGATTGAATGTGGATTTTCCCCAATGAGAAAAACATGTGCTCTATCATTGAGCTATGGCTCAAAAGTGTTGTAGGACTGTGACACTGAGATACCAGATAAGGGAAAGTACACACTGTGTACACTAGGGCTCAATGACATTTTTCTATCAAATAATCCACACTGTGGCACCCACCACATGGAATGATCTCTCCACAGAGATCAAATGGCTCCTAGAGGTGAGTGTTTCTGCCAGCAACTGAAGATGCTTGCCTAGGAGTTTTCTTGACTGTTAGCATTGCCAGCTACCCCTGGGAATTTTAATAAAATATTTTATTATTTATGTTTGTTTTATTATTTTATATATTGGTTTCATTGCATATTTGCCATTATTTTGATTAACCCACTTTGAAATTTAAAAAACTGAAAAGCATTCTGAAACAAATATATAAGATGCAAGCTATTTTATCAAGGGTCCCTTTAAGTACCCTATGTTTCTTTTGTTTCTGAATGACTTTTTTACAAGCATACCTGAATCTGCAATGTGAGACGGAGACTATAATGGTGTAATGGGCATACACCAAACCTTGCAATTTACTGTGAAAAATAGGGAAATTACCTAACTCTGAGAGACTGAAAGAAAAACACACACCTTTGCTTTACCTTAAATGTTTACAGAAAGAAGGCTAGATTAGTATACCAACCCCCTAGCAGTAGACTGGCAGACTATTCCTAACAGAGAACATAAAAGATTGCAGGAACTTATAATTTGCCAAATAAGGTGTGGGAAGGAGACTAAGGAAAGGGAAGGATAGGACTTGGGATGCTGAGTACAACAGGGACCTCAATCTGTAATGGCATCAGCTGGTGAGTAGTACTGAAATTTTGAAAGTCTTGTGGGCTCACTCACAAAATCGCTGGCTGTCATGCTTGGTGTTGCCAGTCACAAAGCACCTCATTTGCAAAAGGGAAACTGGTGAAGCTAAAAGAAAAGCAGCTGACACAGGAACCTAACTATAAGGCAGGGGTAGGTTCTGTGCCTCAAATGCCAAATCACATTTTTGGCCCCACAACAAAGTAGCAATTTCACAGAAGACAAGCTGCTTAAAGAAACTCATACACACAGAGAGACAAAAATCCAGGCACAACATAGCCTATGCACACAAACCCCACCAATGCACATACCACATATGAGCTAAAACAAACAGATTGCTCACTCTCTAAAAACCACAGTACATATGCAAAATACCTACCCCTACCAAACCTAACCAACAAGCCTCAGCATAATGGTTCATTTTCTCTGTGTGAATGGACACAATTAAAAAAGAAGAACCATACCGGAAAATATTAGCAAACAAGAAATGTATTTGATGCTACATTTAATCACAGCGGCGAGGGCTGTGCTTGCTCAATACTGGAAGAGTGAGGAATTACCCACTGAGGAACTGATTTTAAAAAAGATTCTGGACTGTGCAGAAATGGACAGATTGACTCTATTACTGAAGGAGAAAGAAGATACTGACTTCTATCAAACTTGGGTTCTTTTTTATGATTGGCTGGAGAAACGGGACTTGGCTTAGATTTAAAGATGTTTTTAAATTTTTATAAATTGGTTTGAATTTGATTATAGCATGTTAAAAAGATACATTATAAGGGGCTGACCCAGTACGTCTGATGTATTTAATGATTGAAGTTTTTAGTTTAAAAAATGTAATAAAAATCTTTATAAAAATAAAAAATAAAAAAGAACCACTTGCTACAAATGCCACTGACGTTTATGTGGGGCTTGCAGGCATACTTGGTAATAAAGATGACAATGGGGGTCAGTGCTTCACTTTGCAATATGCCAGCCTCCCAGCTTCATTATCTATTTAAAAAACTTCACAAATTAAAAAGGTACCACATCAAGGATCTTAGTTTAGAGCAGTATCAGAAAAAAGAATGAATAAAGTTAGTGTAGGAATAATTACCTGTTTCATAAGGAGGGTAAAACAAAGAACTTCATGGTTAATTACAAAATCCCAGCAGTCACAAGCTACTACAGCCCCCAGATTTTTGATTGTGAATTCAGAATGGAGGGATCTCCACTCAGATCTGATATCCAAAGCTTATAGGTGGCAAGATCATGGCAGAAAGAAAGATCTTGAACATTTGCAAGTGGGTCTTGCTAGCTGTCTCAGCAGGTAGGTAAATAGATCCTTATGGAGGCTGAGAAGACCTGCAGTGTGGCTGAAGCCACTATTTCTGAAGGAGTTGACTGTTAAAGGACTTCTGCCAAATTTTGTAGCCTGAGACTTCTGCAAGGCTAGAAAATGGCGGTTCTGCCAGGGACTCATTCCTTGAGGCAGAAAACAATGATAAGGGTGTGACACTAGCTGCCTTATGCTTGAGGAAGTGGCAGGTGCCTTGTCCTCAACAGAATACGCTGCTGTACACTGGAAGGCCCATGTGTTCCAGGGCTATGGTAAAGTCTACCAGAGGAACCTTTTCTAGGTAGCTGACTCATCTGTGGAATGTAACAAGCATGGAGAGAGCCAAGGGAATTTAAAGGAAGGAGTCGAGGAAAGGAGCTACCTAAGAGTGTGGACATGTAGATACATTTGGCTAGAAATTATTAGCACTATGCTGTAGTCTCTCAGCTTGTCCCATGAACAAGTATAGCAGTGAAAGCACAGCTCCTTAGGATTCTGAGACGTACACAAGGATATGTGCAGATGTCCCAGGTGGAAGCTCACATGGGAGCTGCCACAGAATGGAAACCAGTTAGAAAGCTTCAATGGGCACTCAACAAAGCATTAAGTTTCAACTAGGTCTACAAAGCCACAGATCTATCTGAGCAAAGAGTGCAGCAAACCAATTCAAAATAGGAACATGAGAAAAATTCAAGAAACATAGGCTATGCACAAGAGTATTATAGAGGAACAAGCTCAAAGACAAGTGAACACTAAATGAATCTTGCAGCTGTGTGACAGAGAATCTGTCCATGTTAGGTTCCACAGATAAGAGATAACTCAGGGGTAGCTTTAGGCTTCTAAAAATTTTCATCAGACTCAGAATGGAGTTGAACAAACAGATCAACAGTTTGACTCACAGTAATGAAATTGAACCTCAAGAAGGTTTCCTACTTTATTTTGAAATAAGTCAGTTCAATAAGCATTACAAAAACTATGTTTACAAGAAAGTAGTGCTGCATAGAGCAATAGGTACCAACATGGAGTACGCTGGCAGTACTTTCTAACCTGATGATCTATCCTGGAACAAAGATACCTCTGGATTTCCTTTGAAATTTCTAGATTGGCCCATGTAAAAAAGGCCTATAGTTGTCTGACTGGGGTGACTACTTCATTGGAAGGCATTTTTATGTATCTAGCATTCCAAGCTTTGCAGAGTGCAGCACTGCAACTCATTTAATTGAAGACACTCAAGTCAGTGAACTACAAATTTGGGGGGGGGGGAGTTGTTTCACTTGCATGCTGTTATCAAAATCTTTTTGCTCCCAGCAGCCTTGAAACCCTTTCTCAAGCTAACCTTTGTTGAAAAAACAGTTCATATTAGACAGGAAAAGTACAACTACAAGCTATTAGAAAATACTCTGCAGAGTGGGTATGACTTGCAGCAATAAATTAAGCTTCAGTTCAACAATAACAAAGCTACATGTCCTACTAACCTGATTGCTGAAAAGATAACTATAAATATTGCATCAAAATTCAAAGTAATGAAACATGCCTAGTACATAGAAAAACAATATAGCTATGAGAGCTCTTATATAGGCACCTCCCTAAAGCTATAGGTTTTCAGTTTCATTCCATATTGCTAGGGAATGAAACTCTGGTTTTAATGTAATATTGTTATTTGTACTTTACTTTTAACTTATTCCACGGAAATCAATGGGACATATTAGTCAGGACTAACAAGTCCCATTGATTTTAAAGGATCTACTATAGGTATGGCTAAATCTGGAATCAATCCAGTGTCTTACATACTTGAAATCATGTATCAAGATTCTAAAAGAATGAACAGATCAGCCAAGGAAATTTCACATAAACAATTTTTCCTTCAATCCCAGAATTTGCAGTTAATGAGGCTGTAATTTGATTTCTATTAGATCTATATAGTCATATACACTCTAACGGGCACAACATATGTGATTTTGCTTTGGTTACCTAAAGGCAGCCAAACTATTGTGATATAAGGTTTGTAACAATGAAATCACATTCTTCAGAACATCTCATATGGTTAGAAATGCCATTTAGTAGAAGGATAGAATGCCTATATGATGTTTATGAACTAATGTAAGCTAGCTGTATTTGCAGTTGACCAATCCCAACTCTACATTCATTCCCTGATATTATACATTCTTTCACTTAGAAAGTTTTTGATTAAGCAGCCAGAAAATAAGTTTTGGCATATTATGATGACAAGCTTTATTAGCTCCCCAAATTGACATAATCCAAGTAGATAGCATCATTTCTGTCATGTATAGTTTTAGTTCTGAATATGGAAACCAGGAAAACAATGAGAAAATGAAAAATAAATTTGGTGTAGAAAGCTACAAGTTTACAGAACCCTTGAAGTTAAAATATTTGACTAACCACTGGAATATATATGTTTTATCTTATGGGCTTTTATGAAAACTAAGATAACATTTCTCAACAGTAAAGGAAAACAAAGCAACTCAGACAAATCCTGTTATACTTGCCTTTGTTCCTAAATAACTTCTCAAAGGAATTCATCATAAGGAAAGCTGCTCTTTAATTAATGCTTTTAAAAGACAAGAAAGCAATTTCCTCAACTCTATCAAATTTTCTATACTAATATGCTGGGCGAAAAGACTATCTAGTATCTGTAGAAATATTTGCTCAGGAATTGATCTAAATACAGCAATTACATTTAACAACAATGCTCTTTATCCTATGATTAAAAGAGGAATGTTATTTATATTAGAATATGGCATTAGATTATATTAGAATACAATATTATATGATTAACATTAGTTAATCATGCTGCTGCTTTGTCAGATTTTAGTTTTAATTAGCCAGATATATTAATCTTGCAGGTAGGAAAATTCAGCAAAGGAGGAAGAGAGTATACAGATTTGATAGGAATATTTACCAGTCATACTGCTGTCTCTGTTTATTCCGTTATGAAGCTTACAGTGAACAAATGCTGCATCAAATAGCCATGATCCAAAAAGGTTCAAGATACTGTTAACCTTTGGCCTGTGGGGAGCAGGGAGAGGTCGAGGCTCAGAACTGGTCTGGTTTGGGCTAGATAATGGAGAAGTGGAGGATGGCTGGTGTTGTACTTTGGACGCATGAGCAGTACTAGCCTATTTGAATGAGAGAAAAATCAGATTAGAACTTAAAAAAAACCTTTATCACTAAAAAAAAGTAATTAGAGTTTAAAATAGTTATTATTTGGGTCACATCAGACAATAAAAGTTATCATCTGTATTATGCAAAACATGTAATATCATTGTGCAACTAAGCAGAGAGGCTTACTGTGCTATTTTTCATTGTTGTCTTATTCACAGTCACAGCTCGATGCCTTCGGTTGTGAGGTGGAGTTGTATTGACAGCAGTAGTCTGGGGCATGCTCAATCTATTCACTGGTGTGGGTGGAGCACTATCTGCTCGAGGCCTTGAAATTCCTGAAAAATATTACATGACTCTCAGCATCAAGTACTTACAATTTCAATATTATACAAGTATTTAAATAGCAAAATGCAAACAGAAACACCTTCCTCCCAAACCAGTACCAAGGTTAAAAATATCTTCCTTTGAGAATAACTTTTCTATTAAGATTGAAAAGTGATGAAAGGGAGTATTTGAATTAACTATGTAGAAGTTTGTTGCTTATATTAGGTGAACAAAAAACACTCTTGAACTAACCATACCAACAGGAAGCAAAGAGTAACAAAGACTGTTTGAAAGCCACTTTTGTCCTAATCGTGTTATAGGCTCCTAACTGAACTTTGTTCTAGCACAAACTACTATTTTAAAAATCCAGTAACATTCAAGCTAAATAAGGTATATGCCCTTCGATCCTATCCCCAATCACATTTACTTAACAGTCACTGTTTGAATACAGGTAACATGTGAGCAAACCAAAAACTGCAACATTAATGAGAATTATTGGATGGTAAGTACAGAGAAAACATACTGGAGATATATGAAAGTTATGCAAATGAAACTAATTCCTCTTAACTGGATTGTGCCATGGTGCTTTTTACCAACAAGAATGAATATGAAATGAAGCATTTACTACAGCATTTAGACCACTATCAACAGAAAGTAGTATGTATATATGTTTTTAGATTAAGAACATAAGAAAAACAAAGGTCCATCTAGTCCAGCACTCTGTACACAGTGTGGAAAACCAGCTGCTCACAGGATTGCTCAAGCAGGATGGGTGCATGGTACACCAGGCCATGATTCACAGTAACTGATGTATGTAGGCAAGCCACCTCAGGTAAAGGAGGCAGCACACAGCCAGCAAGGCTAGAGGCTCTAGTTTTGTTTCAAGTCCAGTTTTTCAGGACGCGGTCTGTAGGTACAGTATCTGAAAACTTCTCATATGGAATTTAAAAGAGTGTAAAAAGCAATTCATCTTCAAAACGATAAACATATGGACTGGGAGTGCGGAATGTGTGGCTCTCCAGATGTTGTTGGATTGCATATACAGGTTACTGGCTATACTGGTTAATGCTGATGGGAACTGCAACCCAGCAACATCCAGTGGAGGTCATATATTCTCCATGCCTGAAAAAGACCGAAATTTAACTAAGTCTCAATGTTTTAGACTGAAAGATTTACCTAAAGTTCATTATCTGATTCAGCACTTATGCCATTGCAAATTATGTTGCACTAGTGTAAGCTACCCATACGTTTTGCTGGAACCATAGGTTCCCTGAGAAGCCCACTGTGCTACCAAATGCTGCTGGCATTATTCTGGAGGTAGCCTGTGTTAGAATGATATAATTTATGCTAACACTAATCACAATGTATCCAGAACTCAATGGACTGCCAGAATACCTACAATCTTCAAATCTTAAATGCATACTATAGTTTCAACAGTTCATCTACAAGCAAAATACCCCTGCAAAAAATCCAAAAGAAGTTCCATTAATAAAAGGACAGAAACGATTTACAGGTCTGTGATTGCCAGTACTCCTCCAACTTAGTTGCACAATAATTAGCACCACTGAAAAGGAACAGTGCTATTAGTTTAAGAAGCAATATTCTGCTATACAGAAACAATCCAAGATGTAAGGTTTTAATTTATTATCAAATATAAATTTGATATTAAATATGAAGAATGACATTAATATGACATTTGTGGTTTCACCATAATAAAGGGCAACTCTCCCATACTGCAACAAATTTTAAATAGTTTTCTTCCAAATTGTACGATCACACATATCAGATTATTGTATTTCTGTTAAAGAGTCCTACTTCTTTACAGTCCAGTGCCATTTACTACTGAATATAACAGGTAAATAGTTATAAATAATAAATAGTACAATTGGAAAATGCCTGATACTAACATTTTATTTATTTATTAGGTCTATATTCCATCTGTTGTCTTTAAAGAACTCAAAGTAGTTTACTTCATTCTCCTCCTACCGCTCTCAATATTATCCACATAACAAGAATCCTGCGTAGTAGGTTGAACTGAGAGTCTGTGACTGGCTCCAAGTCACCCAGTGAGCTGCATGGTGGAGCAGAGACTAGAACCCATATCTCCCAAGTCCCAGTCTTGCACTCTTAATCAATAATTTTAATTTTATGTTAATGAACACAACAGGCAAGTTACAGTAAACAGACATATCTTTTTACCAACACCATTCTTTTATGGTTACTCTCAAATGTAAGAAGTGCAAGAAAGCAATCATGAGTACTTCTAATGGAAAAAAAATGAGAATGAGATTATTTTTCTTCCCTGTTTCTAAATCTTTTAAGATATTTTCAGGACTCTTACTATGAAAGCTACAACAAGAATAGGCTGTTTTTAGAAGAGATTATGAGCTACATAAAAGTAAGTTTTGTGTTCCAGCACAATTTCCTTGGCATTTTCAATTGCAAGACCTCATCATTCACAGGGTGCATAGCTTTTGACATAGCTAAGTCATTATGATTATGCAACACAACTTGGGTATCATCTGCATGTTTGTTACAGTGAGAGAGACTTATTAGATGATTAGATGGTTTATTAAAGTTCTAGATAGTGGTGGTTTGCTAAAAATAACAACCCTCCTCTCTTCATATAAATAGCTACACTACCTGTAAAAATACATAACTGGAAATATTGCAACAAATCTAATTTACTAAAAGAATGTGTATGGCATTCCAAACTTAATTTTTTTCATTTGGAGGAAACAGATCTTAATGAAAGGTTGTTATTCACGATAGAATGCTGCAGCTTGCCAAATTTTATTCAAGCACCAACCAATCCGAAAATCATCACCCTTCTGCCCAGATTTTTTCCACCCAGGAGAATGAAACATGTTTTAATACCATAACAGGGTAATCTTTCACACCCACTGGTTGTAATGACAGCAACTCCTAGAGAAAAAAAGAGTATATTGCTACTATATTATGCACCATAGTGGAAACATTTCCAAACAGCAGTTCTTCAGGAAAATAAAGTGTGTAATGTTTACTAAAATATTTATGGATTCATATGAAAATAGGCAACTGTTTTAATTAACTACAAAGAGAACTTCAAATTGTTTTTAAAAATTCCATTAGAGGTAACATTCAGGAACCATGATTGATTTTAGTGCATTTTGTTGAGCATATTAGTAACTACTCCTCAGAAGTTTTCACCAAGACTAGAACCCACTAGTCAGAAAGTGGATTTGTGGGCTAAAGACCAACAGCATGCTGCACATGCCCCACTGCTACAGAGGGTACTCATCTGTACTATGTATTTACTTTGGGACTGGATGTGGGAGACACTCAAATGGCACAAAAGCTGAGCAGTAAATTTGGTCTAGGGTTCATCAGCTGCCAACTGTTGCAAATAAAATGCATTTTAGCTGCATAGATAAATAGCAAGGAGACCATCAAGTTGTGTACAACCTGTTCTACAAAGAAATATATGAAGCATTAAATATATCAATATGAAACATTAACATCTACCACATTATTTACAAGAATGAAAGCAACATCTTATTAGCTAAGAATGGGGAGTATTACCTAGAAATGCATCCACTAAGCAACTGATCCCACGCATAGCACGAAAGAATATTTGAGGCAGATGTTTAAGGCAGGGGTACTGATTCAATTCCTGAGCCATTCCACTCACATTTAGAAACTGTTCCTGAAATTTGGGCGTAGAACTTATAATCGCTGGATTACTCAAATCCACAGGATTGCTATAAAAAGACATTGTTTTATTATAATTTGTTTAACAAAAATAATAATACACTGAATAATTAAAGCAAAATGATCTTTTAAAGAATCCAAAAGGTTATGCCATCAGTTACTGACTTGGAAAAACAAGTAATTTAATATTAGACCAATCAATTAACAAGACAGGCATATAATTTTATCATCACATTTTCCACTTTTGAATCTAAAATGCTATCCAAGTACTTATTCATCTTTGACCTAAAACCTATAAAGTTACTCCTGGAAAGTGTTCCCAGTTTTCCAAAAGCTTATAAAAAATTGACAGCATCTGTCTGTAAGAGTAGTAGTCAGCTGATGCGTGACAAAGTGTTCTGCAAATTAACTATAGTAGCCTTTGGGCACATGATGTCTGCATGTGGCAAGAACAGATGAGACAGTATCGCAAAAGAACATGCAACAGTAGAGGCAGGAAGACACTGAAGTACGAATGGGAAGGGATGGAGTATTAGACTGTTCAGTGTGTGGAACTGCTAGGTGGAAAGCTGCTAAGTATCTGAAGGGAACAAAATTGAAGCATGCGAAGAACTACAGATTTTTTTTTTTTTTTTTTTTTTTTGAAGTTGGCAGCAGAACTTCAGGGACAAACTGCAGGATAAGACACCAAGTGCTTAGCTCAAGGTAAATAATTCAAGTTACTTTGTCAAATAATTCTTTTCATTTACACATAGGGTGCATAATTAGAATTAATGCCTTCTTTAATATTAGACATTCCTTACAAAGCAAGGATAAGGTATTCTAACAAATCAAGGACTCATACATATGAGATTTGGATAAACATGTGAGAAGTATTACATGTTTTCTTCTTAAGCACTGTACCTTAGCATATGTAAAAAGCGAAACCAAGTCTGGGCAACGCACTCATTATCCATTTCAGGAGGAATCAGACTGGCATCTTCATCAGGAATTTTAAAGGGTGGAAATGAAGGTCCATACGTAAAACGCAGCAATCTGGAGGACATGTCAGACTATCAATGCATTTATAGTTCTCCACATTTTCATTCTGCCTGGTTATCTGTAATGCATCTACATTTCACTGAAGGCACCTGATAAACTTCTTACAAATATCAAGCAATTACTGAAGTCTGATAATCCTAATTAATTATCCTTCATTAGGCTTCACCCTTCTAAATTTCATGACGTATCTCTTGAACATTTTAGACCAAGCAGAATTGCCATAATGGTCCTGATGCCTGTTCTAGTAAAGAGGAAACACAAAAAGATGAGTGCTTGATCAAATGGTTAAGTCCCCAGTGCTGACAATTGTCTAACCTAGCTTAACCTTACATTTGTAAAAGACAAGATGAAGTTTACAGAAATAAAGCATTTTTCATAGAATGTTCTCCCAAATCCTAATCTGCTGTATATAGTTTTTTAATACACCAATTTCAAGAACACCTAGCTAGGCCTAATGGAAATTCCTATCCATCCATTCAGAAGCCATATTACAATATACGTATACAATACTGTACATTGATACAGAATATATAATTATGCCTATTCAGAAGCTTAAGGTGTAAAGAGACTCTGGTCTCAGGCTAGCATACTCCTTTTCTACCAAAGCTTCTGTCCAAAACGTCAGCTTCTTGTTTCAAGTGATTCTTAAATATTATGGGGAAGATTCAATCATAGGAGTTCTGACTTGAAGTGTAACTTCCCAGAAGCAGTTTCACACTTCAGTGAGAACTAAGTCCAAAAGCGAAGTCATGAATTCACAAGTTATCAAGCCTTATGCAACAGCAGCTCATTTGAGAAAGAACAGAAGACACCCCAGGCCCAATTACTGAAGCATAATGCAGGGAGGTTATATGCAATCTTCTAAAACATTTCTTCTGAAATTTAAAAATTCAATTGTATTATCAGCTTATAGGATCAAAGCAAAGTATGAAAAAAGAATAGCTTTTTACCTACCTAGCAGTAAGGGCACATATTACTTTGCTCCACTGCTCCACCACTGCAGAATGATGCCTCCAGTTAGCTACCATCTCCTTGGCAGTTTTCCAGTAAGGTGGAGTGGGAAAGCACCGGGAACAGGCTAGTAACCAAACTTCAAACAGCACACCAATCAGTTTCTCAGCTAAATTCTCAGCAATACCACCTGTGAAAGGAACAACGCAAATGATTTTTTAAAAAAAAAATTATGTGCCTGTACAGTATCTTTTTATCATCATCTTTGGAGAACCTTCCAGATTCCGAAGGAATCTTTTATGTATTGTCAAACAATAGTTTGTTATCTATGAACTACCTCGCATGCATTTAGCTCTACAACTACAATTACTATTTACTGCATACTGGCTCACATACTTTATTAGCACTGTACTGCAGTGGCCATCTATGTTTAGAAATATGTGCAAATTCCATATCAATGTATTTAGCACACAAGAGTCAGTTTTAAGTGTGACAAGAGAGCATTTTTTCTGTTTGCCAGATGAAAAAAGCTTGCAATAAGGGCTAAAAATCCAGAGAAGAAAAGAAAGGAAATAATAATTGCTTCTATTTTTCAGAAACAGAGGGCCAGGACAGAAGTAACATGGAAAATGCATTAACAGTTCTCCCAATGAGTATTTTCTAACTTTAAAGCAGCCACTAAAAGTGTATGGGGGTTACTGTAAGCTGCCAATACCAGTTTTAATTTGAACAGTAGCTGAGGGTCTGTTCAACCTTCCCCAACCCCAATATTCCCTTCAAAGGCACCATTAGCAGCCCCCACAAGTGTTTTGTCCTTGTGTCATGCAAAGTGCAAGTGCTGGTGAAGGAAGCAGAAGTACCAACTAGTCAGAAATTGTCAATCAAGTTCAATACAAACACTTTTGACTTTAAACAGAAACATTTTTTTCAAAAATGAGGGAACTCGTAAAGAGGAAACAAAGGGAAAGTTAAGAGAGTTAAATCCCTCCATAACAATTGGAGATTACTCAAACACTAGAAGCTTAGCTACACTGCATACAGTTGGTCAAGAAGGACATTTGCAAAGTCTAAAAGGTCACTAGCATGGTATCCAGAAAACTGCCAAAAAAAGCTTTCTTTAGAAAAAATCTTACCCACAAAAGGGGCATAAAGGGGCATACCTAAAGGAATGCCTTTTTCCCTACATGCCCTCCCGCCCTAGACTGGCAGCAGAGGCCCTCCGCCGGGAACCCTCTTTGAAAGAGGCCAGCAGTCAGAGTACTCGAAGGAGGGCCTTCTCTGCGGTGGTGCTCCGACTATGGAATGTGCTCCCTAGAGAGGGCCACCTGGCACCGTCATTATATGTTTTATGGCACCAGGTCAAGACCTTTTTATTTGGCCAATATTTTAACACAAAGTAATTTTAATTGTGAAATGATTTATTTAATTTATTTTAATGATGTTCAGTGTAGAATAGTTAATTTACCTTATTTTACTGAAGTTCTGAAATAATGTTGTAAGCTGTCCAGAGACGACAGTAATGGATGGCATACACATTTTTAAATAAATAAATAAAATAAATAAAAGTGAAAATAATCTACTAAAGAAGCAAAAGATGTAGAGAAGATGTATTCTTTGCATCCATCTTTAGTGCAGAAGATGAAGGGCAGATAACCTTATTGACAAATCAAAAACCAACCAGTCACCAAGTTCGGAAGACATCCATCCAAAAGCTCTCAAAGTACTTAAATATGCAGCTACTGATCTTCTAGCAAACACATGAAATATGTCCCTAAGTTTAGCCTCTGCCCCAGAAGAATGGAAACTGTCTAGTGCAGTCTTAATTTATAAAAGAAGATCACTAGAGGATCCTAAAAATTAGAGACCAAGCTGCTTAATGACATTCTGAGTGAACTGGTAGAAAGTATGAAAAATAAAGTGATCGTCCATATAAAGCAAGAGTGTGCAGTATATGGTTTGTGAGCTATATACACAATCCACAGCTACTATGAGCATAATTTTAAAAACTGTTAAAGGATTATTTGGGGGAATGTGAAGATAGAGCTGGGAAACAAAAATGGTCTCCCAGATTTGCTCACCCCTGAAGTAAAAGAATAAATCTTGCTGAAGAAATGTCAGTGTGGCTTCTGAAAAGCTAAGTCTTGTCTCCCTAACATTTCACAGTTCTTTGAGAGAGTCAAAAATCATGTGGATAGCGAGGATCTACTACATAGGATCTACTACAGACTTGGGCATTGTACAGCCTGCGGGCCACATCCGGCCTGATGGCTGACCCTGACTGGCCCACATGAGGTCACTGGCAAATTAAAAGTCAATGCAAATATATATCGTCGTAATATAGATGCAAGAAATACAACTGCACTGCTTTTATTTTGAAGGATCTGCTAAACTGAATTGAATTTATTGCTTTTCATGTAATGTTAATGTTAATGTTTTTGTGAATATTCATTAAATAGTGTTGTTCTGTGCTCCACATTTTCATTGTATCATTGTAATGTTTCATTTACTGTTTTTATAGAGATATATATTGAGCAGAGCTGTAAGTGTATTGGTCCGGCCCTTAACAACTGTCAAAGTTTCTCATGCGGCCCCATAGGAAAATTAATTGCCCATCCTGATCTACTACAACTCTTGGAATCTGAAAAGAGTTTTGACAGTTCGCATGAAAGAACTCTGAGCAAACCTAGCAGTCATGGTGTAAGAAGATTTTTTATGGGCTGTTACATACTGTTAAGTTATCTCTAACTTATGAGTACCCTATGAATCAAAATTTTCCAAAATGTCCTATCCATGGCATCTTATGGACTGAGTAAGTGGTTAAAGAACAGGAAGCAGATAGCAAAACTAAGTTTAAAAAATCTCACAATGGAGGGATGTAAAGAATGGGGTGTCCCAAAATACCAATTCACTTAGGGTAGTTAAAACAAAAATAGTCAGCAGATGTTGCTCAATGCTGTGTATTGTCTATTAAAAAGCCACTGGAGGCAATAATTAGAGGATCTGAAGTATGAAGCACCATCCCTATGCTGATGATGGTCAGCTTTATCTCTGTGCAGTATCAAAATCAAGAGTAGCTATATAATCCTTAAAATAGTAACTCGATGCAATTATGGATTGGATAAGATCCAATAAAACAACCTTGAATTCTGACAAGATGGAGATTCTGTGGGTGAGTGGTTTCCATGTCCAGGAATTGGGTATACTGCCTGAACTGCTTGGAGTTACATGTCCCTTCCAGGATCAGGTGTATAGCCTGAAATTGTCCATTGATTCCACAGTCACTGGAAGCCCAGGTGTTTCCAATAGTTAAGTAGGATAGCCAGGGTCATTCCTGGACAACCATAACTTGAGTACAGTGGTACATACACTGGCAACCTCAAAACTGAAGTACTACAATGTGCTTTCTGTGGGATTACCAGGAACTGAAGTACTGCAGAAGCTGAAATTTCTGCAGAATGCCACAGTGAAGTCAGTAACAGAAGACATCATTGCCAGTATATTACTGAGGGATTTAGTATTTATAGGATACTGGACTAGGTTACAGTGGTGATACTTATTTAAAAACCCTTAAATAAATCAAAGTACTTAAGAGTTGTCTGACTCCCTACATGCCTGTCTGGTTGCTGCATTAATCAGGAGACACATTCTCAATGGTGACCAAGGTTTTGGTTGTCCAGCCCATTATGGCTTGAAAGAGAACCTCTAATAGCACATTGATCATTCTCTAGAACTCTCTACCAGAATAAAATTGACAGGTAGCTTCTCCATTTTTAGTGCCCACTGGAATGTACTTGTCAGAACAAGCATTTACAGAGAGGTAATGTTGTCTTCAATCATGTATATGGCCATAATATATAATATTTTAATATGACCTCATATTCTGATTCTGTACATCACATAGAAATGTTTTTAATGTAAATGATTCATACGTACCATTAAATAGACAATAATTAACAAGCTGCAGCCACCCTGCCTGTAAAGTTTCTAATCCCAGCCTTCTCTAAGCAAGCCTTGCCCTGCCAGACTTTTATAAAGGAAAAGCAGGAATAGAGAAGCCTGATGGATTAGGAAACATCATTTGAAAATGCCCTGAGTACTCTTAGGTAACAGTATCTATTATACACTCTCATTTTTCCTGCTGTGAAACTCATGGGAGCAGTGGAGGTTGAGACAGTTGCATAGCCAAGGTTCTCCAGACATTTGACTACAGCTGCCAACCGATAGCTGCAGCTGCCAACCAACTCCAGCTTTCCTGAAGAAGAGATTACAACACAACAGATAGGACAATCTCCATCCACTTCTGCAGCTTCTGAATTGGAAGTAAAACTGACCACAGCTGTTATGGAGATTGTGGACTTACACCCATCACGAAAAACAAAATGGTTGAAACATGGAAATCACAGTCCAAAGTATCTGTGAATGAATAAAAGACAAGGAGTAAAATGGACACCATGGCCTTTATAAGCAACCTGAAGATCAATCAAGTGCTCTATGACTGCATTCCCTTGAAGCTATGAATGGCAGAAAAAGTTCTGGTCACGCTCAGACCAAAAGCACACACTTGCAAGTGGTAAACATGAAAAGCTAAAGACAAACCTTGCACCGTTGGAGCTGCCAGTAGAGTATCATTGATCTGCAGTAGAAACAATAATAAAATCTCCCACGTTTCTCTAGCCATAGTGGTTGACTCACGGGCCAATTTCTGGACAGCTTTTAAAACTTGCAAACATAGTTTAATCTGACTGGAACTTTGATCCTGCCTGTACAAGAAAAAATAGTACTTATACTTTCAAAAAAGCAAGTTGCAAAAATAATTGGCAAAAATGAGTTAAAAGAAGAGACATCGACATTCTTCTTGATATTTTTCAACTCTTTAACAGGAGGTTTTGCCAGGAAGCCAGAACTCTCATAAGCAAAATCTAAGAAAACTGCATTAAGAAAAGCCACTCAAAAGATTTTCAAACTATCAGAATCCTGGAATAGGCGCAATAGGTCTCTGGTGTTTGTTTTGGTACCTCCAGGTAGAACAGAAATACCATTTATGTATGGTGAAGCTCTCAGGGGACCCAGTAAATTTTCTGTTTTCACTGCCCTCAACAGGCAAGACCTTTATTGAACTCTTATGGATTGTCTATACATGGCTGTTGGGTTATATCAGGCTTGGTTGATTTTTTAAATTATATTTAAAATAGCAATATTTCAAATCTATGTTTAATGTGGGTGAGATTTGTATTAGCTGCAATAGATAGCTTTTCACATAATGAGTTAACTTATGATTTGTTTAACACAAAACATCCCAAAATGATGTGCCTATGTTGTTTTGACAGTAACAGCTAAAGAATATGGTATTCCTTCTAACCTTATGTCAAATTACTTATTAAAAAAGCATAATTGTGCTGAGTGACTGATAGACTCTTTTTAAAGAGACTGCTCCTGAGGAAAAACAAGAGCTTGAAATGTGCAAAATACACAATTTTTAGAAAAATACTTTAATATCTATCTGACAGCCTTCATCTGACAGTAGTCTCCTTCTACTGCAGATAGATAGCTGTTTTCTGGGGGGGGGTTTCTCTTCAATAAAATTAACAATTTGTTCACAATTTTTAAAGGAAGTTAAACTTTGATGTACATGCAATCCAGCGATGGAGATATGGGTGTTAGGTTATTTCAGAATCATTTTCCCAGCTTTAATATTTCCCAAAATAATATGCAGCCATTTAATCCAATCCTTTTTCCTTCAACATGCCAAGTATCTTGGATCATCTTCTTACTATATACCTATTACAATTTATCTTCTAGAAATTGCAAAACTCTTTTAGGTTGCATACTCTTCCAAGAATGATCATTTCAATAATAGATCAAAATAAATGTATCAATTGGTTAGCATTATGAACTACCATTTTTTCTGAAAAACTTGGCTAATTGCCATAATACATACATAAAACATACATGAAATTATTTGCCATCCACAGCTTCTCACCTTGGTACGAAGAGATTTTGTAGATGTTTGAGAATGCTCTGAACGTAAAGATTTGGTTCTTTAACAACAGGTGGAGGAATGGAGTCCTTAGGTAAGACCAGAGCCATAATCCAGTCTGTATATACATCAACACAGTGCTTTACAGTTTCACCATCTAAAGGAAGGGTCAGTCCATAGCAAACAACCTCCATAGTCCATTTTACCTAAGAAAAGAAAAATTGAAAATTTTATTATCATGTTTTAACATACCTTTCACTTGGTAGTTTCTTCCTAATGAATATAGGTAAAATTTTCATAATGAATTTTGGTTGAGAATTCAGAAACTTATAAGAAAGATAAAGAAAACCTTTAAAAGAAAAAAATAGTTTGCATTGCATAAAGGTTAGCTATATGAGTTGCAATAAATACATATAGAATTTATATGCCTATGTATTATATGCATATAAGGAAATATACTACTATCAGTAGAAGTAATTATGCATAAGTTTCAACAAAGACAAGCCATATATCCCTATATGTATCCATGTGTAGATGGTTATCTAAATGCTACAAATTCAAAGGCAGAAAGGAGTCAATAGGTCCTCAGTCTATTGCATTGTTGGGAGTGGTTGTTTAAACTTCTAGTATTGTAAAACCAATAATTTAACTGTCATAAGAGGACAGAAAATCCATTTATTTTGTCCTTGTATTCGATTCCAGGAAGGTGGTAGATATTTAAGTAGAACGTGTACATCCATAAAGAGTTTTCCAATATTAAATTTATCCTTATTATAAGCTTCTCCCCAAAGCGAAAACATAGTCAGAGTTTCTTTTAACCTGTATCTCCCACACCTCGAACAGTAAGCAAACTTAGCCAGGACTTTATTGAGGGGATATTGTGGCATCCAATATATATGAAATAGAAACTTGTGTGTGTGTGTGTGTGTGTGTGGCCTAAGATCCATGGTTACTTCTGAAACAAATGCTAATGCAGAATTCCATTGGTTAGATGAAATAGGGCAATCTCATTCATTATTCCATTCGTTTTTAAGATCATGTATATCACATTTATTTACCAATAAGAAACAGATACACAGCCATATCATATGTCTGATCATGTTTATCAAGTATTTCTAAAAGCGGATGAGACTCTGAGGAAGCAAAAACTGCAGGGCTGAAACTAGATTCTAACAGATGTTTGAAGTGAATGTTTTGCCATTCTGCCATTGTGGGCAAGTTATATCTATTATGAAGAGTGAAAAAAGACAGAAAGTTATAATCAGCTCCTGCTAATTTATCCAATGTGAAAATCTGGTTATATAACCAAGTCCATTATATGAATGGTTTCTTACCGATTTTTATTTATAGGTCCCTCCCTAAAGTCAATTTAGCATGGAAGAAACAACAACTGACATGCTATTGTATGCCACACTTCTCTTAGCATTGTAACTACAAGAGGTAGTTTATTTTCCTATGCCAACGAACAAGTGCAATCTGTTTGGACAGAGGGCCCAGATATGAGTACTTTAAAACTGCCCAGAGTGCTAAAACTTATCTAGGAGAACACTTGACTTTAGTGCAAATGAGCAGATGAGCCCAATAATATAAAGCAAAATCAGAGAAACCAAATCCACCGTCTTTGATTTGAAGCTGTGTTCTTTCCAAAGATATTTGTGGTGGGACAGACCTTGTGCAGAGAGAAGGACAGGGAGACCATGGTATTGAAAGCCACTGAGAAACTAACAGCTATCTGAATGGGATGGTGTAACTTGCTGTCCTGCAACAGCAGGGCGCTGGATCCTTCTAGATAGGCTGGCCAAGTTGGGGGGGGGGGGGGTTGGAGGCACTGCTCTGAAACGGTTCCACTCCTACATGGTGAGCTGATTCCAGAAGATGATGCTGGGGGATTATGGCTCTGTGCCATAATGGCAGTTATGCCATGGAATTCTGCAGAGTTCCATTTTATCCCCCATGCTGTTCAACATCTACATGAAACCACTGGGAGGTCATCCAGGGGTTTGGGTTGAGGAGTCATCAATATGCTGATGACATCCAGCTCTACCTCTCTTTTACATCTGATCCAGGTGAGGCAGTGGCTGTCCTTAACCGGTGTCTGGCTTGCGTGATGGGCTGGATGAGGGCCAATAAACTGAGACTTAATCAAGACAAGATGGGGGTCCTGTTGGTAGGTGGTTCAACTCTCCAGGTAAGTGATCTTTGCCCTGTTCTGGATGGGGTTGCACTCCCCCCAAGGGACAGGGTGCATAGTCTGGGAGTGCTCCTCACCCCTGAATTATCCTTGGAATTCCAAGTGACTACTGTGGCAAGGAGTGCTTTTCTTCAGCTTCAGCCGATCCATCACCTATGCCCTTAACTGGATGAGCAGAGCCTAGCAATGGTGATCCATGGTCTGGTAACCTCCTAATTGGACTACTGCAATGCGCTCCATGGGGGGCTGCCCTTGAAGATGGTCCGTATACTTCAATTGGTTCAGAACAGAGCAGCCAGGTTGCTAGCAGGGACGAGCAAATATGCACACATGATCCTGGTCTTGTACCATCTGCACCAGCTTCCAATTGAAGTCTGAGCCCAATTTAAGGTGCTAGTGATGACTTATAAAGCCCCAAATGTCTTAGGACCTGGATATTTGAAGTGCCTCCTCTGTATATACCTGCCCAGCCTCTAAGATCGGGAGCACAAGTCCTTCTTCAGGAGCGCTGTTTGAAGGTCAGAAGAGTGGCTACCCAGAGAAGGGCCTTCTCTGTGGTGGTGCCCCAGCTATGGAATGGTCTCTCCAAAGAGAGCCCGCTGTTTTCATTTTGGCACCAGGCCAAAACCTTATTTCCCAGCATTTTAAATGTTAGTATTGTTTTTAACATTAATTTTATATACTATTTTGATGCTGTGTCTTATTTATGTTATCACCGGCCTGAGACACTGTGAAGGGCAGAATACAAAAACTGAATGAATGAATGAATGATCAAGATATTATTTTGTTATTGTAACACAGATCCCAGCAAGGTAATAGAATAAAATAAGACACTTTTCCTTCTTATTACATTGCATTTATATCCTGCCTTTCTTCCTCTAGAAAGGAACCTAACAAGTTTCCTCTTCTCCATTCTTATTGTCACAACAACTATCCTGTGAGACAGGTTAGGATGTTACTTCATGACTGATCGGGGGCTTCATGTCTGAATGGAGCCTCAAATTCAGATCACCTGAGTCCTAGTACAGCACTCTTAACCACTATGCCACACTGGCTCTCTAGTGTGCAAATATTCATCAAAGAAGCAGAAAAAGTCAGAGCTCCTGTTTGCAAGTAAACAAAGCATGTAATCTCTTTTTACTATGCATTTATCATAGAATGCTTTTCTAAAGGTTATAGACAAATGTATGCATCACAACACATTTCTTTAGTCTAACTTACAACAGCCAAATCGCTGACAATTAAATGTAAACAAAAGTGGAACTGCAGGTTCTCTGGATGAATACTCACTTCTTTGTCTGTTTTCAGTAAATTCTCACTTCCAACTGTAGATGGTGCATTCAAGACTTGGCCAAGGGGACGAACAACAGCATTTGCCACCTCTCTCCCCACACTGTCAGGATAGCTGTGAAGTACACTGGTGTGACCCTTATCATTTTGGATTACAAGATGTAGGGACCTCCACTCTGAGTACATAATGCCTTTATACTGTACCTAGAATAAAAGAAAAAACAGAGTTAGAATTACATAGATTATATATTAGCTGGGTCAAAAAGAACTGTATTTACTTAAATTATACTGAAGCATACTGCAAGTACTGAATTTACCTGTATCAGGTTGCCACATTGGATTAGTTTATCTCCAGATTACTGCCAAGAAGCAGCTGAAGCTCAAAGAAACCTGGTATACATCAGCAGCACATCCATCAGGGCTACTTCAAACAGCCCTCATACAACAGCTGTATTTTAAGGACAGGAGATAGCCTTCATCATGCATGTATAAGCTGGCACTTAATTATTTAGGAGATAGTACTACTGATCCTGCTATGCTTGCACTTCTTTCTGTTGTCCTGCTACACAGAGTGGCATCTCATATGAACTTCTCCCATTCTCCTAACTACTCATGGCTATTAGCTGTGCTCAATATAGCTAGAATAGGGAGTATCTTATTCATATAATCAACCTAATTTAAGTGGGAAAATAATCCCTTGCTGCTATTTTGAACAACCAGGACCCTGCAATCCTTGCTGAGTTATCATGAATCAGTTGGCTATTACTGATATAGTTTGCTATTCATATCTAAGCCTTTTTGAAAATGAATACTTTGCCACAGTGTTTTTACTGAGGCACAGAATTCCACAATTCATTTTTTCCTCACATTAAGTACAGATGTTGGCATTTGAATTACCATAACTGAACTTCAGCTTTTCAAACAGATTTTGCTGATCCAGAATAGATAAAGCAGGGGTGGATACTTCAAGGAGTCAGGGGGCAGTGCTGTCCACAAGAACCAACTAGGGATCACATCCAGCCCCTGGTGCTGAATGTACTGACACCACCAAAACTGCCACTGCATTTTTGCAGGCATATAGGTAGTGTGCATCTTGTTTCCCTGAAGAATTTCCCTTCTAGAAGCCTCCAGTAGGCTTCTCAGAATGCAATTCCACTTGTTTTCTTGCAAAATTGCCACAACTTGTTTATGCTACCAATTCCACTTTCTCTTCATGCAGCGGTTGGGAAAACAGTAGGAGCCACAAAAACACCAGCCCAATGGAGAAGAATATCTGTTATAGCTTTTACACATGTGCACGCGCGAGCACGCACACACACTCCAATATTCCAAGTGCCACTACCATACTGTTCTTCTGAGGGGCAAACCAAATGTTGCCTTCAAGTCATTTTCCAAGACATGCTCCCATCTTTTCTTGACTTAATTATCCCTTGTAGTGCACTTCTTTCTGCATGTTTCCTACTGAACATTCAACCACATTTCTCCTGATTTACCCTCCTAGTCCTCAGAGGGCTTCTCATCATCCTCTAAAAGTTAACTGAAAGTTAAAATACTAACACAAAGGGCAGACTGGAAATAAAGATTTTGTTTAGGGCTGCTGCCATTGTAAGGCCCCTAGAGAAAAGCATTTCTGAAGAGATACTGGACGCTGCTCTCCAAGTACCCTCTACTTCAAATTCATGTGTAGGGAAGGAAATTTACATTTCATCCCTATCGCCCTGTCCATTTTCCTAAGGCTGGCTCTGCTAGTTAGAGATCCTCCTGTTAGTGTTAATTGCTAGAGTGTCCATTTTCTTACCACTTCGAGGAAAAAAATCACTCTGTTCCAGCTAATATTCACAGACGTCCATAGCTTCTGCTAAAGGAGTGTTTTAGTACTACAGCACTTTTTCTAGAGTTCTTACTGGGAATTGGCTGATACATCCACAGCTATCCTATACATATCTGCACCAAGCAAGCCCCAGTGGGTTTGGTGGGAGTGTATACATTTTAAGCAAGTATCTGATAAAGACAAGGAATCTTTACCTTTGAACAGTGGAGGAAATAAAGAATTGGTGAACAGGAAGAAGATATAATTCAGCTACATTTTTATACCAGAATGATTCATCAGGTTTTGCATAAGTGTAAATATGCATAGGGGGATTAAAGGAAAAAAATGTGTCTAGGCCTACTGTAGTCCATAGAACCTAGACCTAGTGGAGGTTTTCAAGCAGGCAGTAGATGCCTATGAGAATTAAAACAAAACTATCCATTTCGGTTTATTTCTCAGTCACCATCAACAGAAGGTGGACTACTATTCATATCATCAACCAGCAACACTATCACTGACCACTGTACTTACTTACTAGTAATTAAACAACTTTACACTGAAGTTCTGTGCTGGTCAACTCTAAAGGAAATATTTTCAATTCTTAGTCTTAGGAAAATGACTACAGAATTTCATACTGAAATACTTTGCTTAAGATACCAAACATACAAAATTTCCATGTCTTTTTGATAATCAGTACCATGTCTACATCATTGTGGAGATCAGCAGAAGGGGTTTTGAGACACATGTCAACTGTGATTCAGGTAGGTTTCAATGAGTCCTCCAACATCACCTACACCATACTACCAAATCTGCATGATATGTCTTACAATATAAGCATATTTTCCCTGACTCTGCACACAACTAACTCTGTGAAGCAAATTACTAGTGAAATCCTTTCTGTAAATGATATCCAAAACAACACTGCAACAGCAGGTACGATTTTATTTAACTTATTTTCCTAAACAGCTAATGCAGAGACCAAGAATTAGACCAAGAATCCATGTCAAAATAGTGACGACATAAGGCAGAAAAGTTTGATTCTCTGGACATCTTACAAAAAGTGTGGCATCTCCCAGCCCACAAATGCATCCCAAAATGTGTTTTGGGATGTCAGCTCCACAGAACCACTTTCTGGGGCTTATAATTATTTCACAAGATATATGGGTGAAACAAACAGCAACTGCTGGAAGACTGTGCATATAATTAGAATCCAATCTGACTGACTTTTTGGAACGTACTGTTTTTCTGACCACTCCAATATGGAGACAGTTGATTACATCAACAGATGTATGCTGAATCTAGTTCCATTTATCAGAGATCACCTTTCTTTGCCTCAAAGAAAGGAGATAGTTTAAAACGAAGGGGGATAGGGGGAGAAAAAAACAGTGACTATGTTCATGCACACTGATAACATCCAGCGTGCAGATGGCCTAGTGGGCAGCAATCCAGTTCCCACCTATATATATATGGTTATGCACTTCTGACATACAGCCATCCTCTCTCATTCTTAGCTACAACAAAGCTGGAAATACATAGAAAATGGGAAAATATTTTCCCATTTTCTATTACAGCTGCACATTGACCATAATTCTCACCTTAGTAATAGAAGTGAGATGTAATGAGCCTCAGAAATAGACACAATAATAGTTGTGCATATATGTGTGCAAAGTGCCATATACTTGCAAAGTGCCAATGCTAAATATTTCAGATTTAGAAATATTGGGAGAGGAGGTGCAGAGCATATAACTAAAAAGGCATAAATAGTGTCAGTTGAAATCAGTATAATTTCACATGCAGCTCAGTCTCATGTACCAAGTAGTTTTTTCCACACAGAGAGCACTCAATAAATAATATTTTCTACTTATTTTTCTTTCCTGTATTCATGTGTAGCCTACTAGCCATATCTGAACAAGTTAGTTACAAAGAAAAACTTACTCTATCAACCCAAAAGTTAAATATACATTTATATTTAACTATTATTTGACCCACAGCTTAGCATCTAAATTAATAACTGGCATAAAGTGTTCTTTCAAACAGAAAAGTTATTACGGCCATGTATATGCGTGTGAGAGAATAAATACAACATGGTATCCATACAAACAAATTCAAAACTTCATAAACCTTAAGTACATTTTTATTCTCTGCCATAATGACAAAAACACTAAAAATTGAGCAGGTACACTCTGAAGGATTTCTTCCCCTTCTACACATTTCCTAAGGGATCAAGTTTATTTCCTGGAGACAAAAACTGCATGCAGCCTGAAGTCCCCTGCATGAAAGAAAGGAAATTGTTTTCCTTGACATAAGTTATATACTTTAGATAGTAGAGATTCCAACTTGTCCATAAAAATCCTAGAATGCCTCATTGTCTGTAAGGGAGAGGATATACTGAAGTGTACAGTCACTGAACAGCAGAAACGGACACTTCATTTGATCAAGGGAAAGCAAGAAATTAAGGTAGTAAAAAGTAGAAACAAAAACTAAAATTTAAATTTTAGGGGGGAAAGCACCAAATTTTTACCATTTATGGATCAATACATAGTGATCATTTTTAGATATGGAGGTATATGAGATAGTGCTTGTGTGCACATGCACAGCCAAATAAAGTGTTTGCACCTGATCATGATATGAAACTAGGGTCTGATAGCCAATGCTATTCAACTTCTATTCAAAGACACTCATCCAGTTATTTAATGAAACAGACAAGGAACAAGTTGTCACAAAATACTTCGTATACCATCGCAACATGAACTTCACTCACTTTTCTCGTGTCACTATGAAGAACAAGACAGCATCATGTAGGCTATGCCCAGGAACATTACTACACTTAGTTTATTAATTTATACAAACCAGCTAACAAGTCCCAAACAAGCTCATACAAATAATTTACAATAGCATATTTCTTAAAACATACGAATTTACTAAAAATGTACCCAAATTCACCTAAAATCATGCCCATCCAATATAAGAATGGACAACAAAACTAGCTGCCAAGGTGAGAAACTTAAGTATGCCCAAATGCCGAAGGAAAACACAGTTGATGTCACATAAGTTTCCCTTGGCAGACCATTCCATGACTGGAAAAGGCCTGTTATGTTATCACCACCCTCCATCCATCTCTTGAATAGGACACACTGAGAAAGGCCTCAAATGTCTATCTCAAAGTCTAGGCATCATCATATAATCCATTATATTGTCCATCTCACCACATTCATCAAGAGCACCTGGAGGAGGACTTTGTACAATGAACTTAAGGTATGGATAAGAAGATATGGGAGAAAATGCTCCCACATGCTTCATGTACCAATTATAGTACCTCTTGATCTTAATTTTCTTTAGAAGAACACAAGCATGTAAAACATTTACGACTGTAAGATTTAGGCCATAATGCTATGATTTCCCAGGGCTGTTTGGAGGTCCACAGGATAGGTTGGCAAACACCAGAAAAATACTCCATGGCTAGAGCTGGGATTCTGTCCTTGGAGGGTTTTTCCAGTGCCTTGTAGCAAGCATAGTTCTTTCTACACTGACTGGGCTTTGAACATGAAAGATTGCCTTTGCAGCCAGTGCAGGGCAAGGGGAGGAGCAAGACATCACCATTCTCCAAAAAATCCTGGCAGTGCATCAGCCTGTCCTCCTCATGGGAAAGAAAGC